GAATTCATTCTTCAGTGGGAAAAATCTGTCAAGATGCCAATCATGTGCCTAGAGAATTTAAAATATTTTTATCCCACTTTACAATCACCTGGATTCCCAAGGTGGCTAACGATAGAGAAACATGAATCTCATCTGTATAAAGCACAGTGATGGGCAGTAAGATAAACAGACCCTGGGTCCATTCAATGGCAGCAATAAGCAACAGATTGAAAGGGTGTTGGGTGTCTTTGGGTGGATGGGGGGGGAGCAACAGTCTTGAATTGTTTTCTTTTAAAAACTTAATTGAGGAGGGGGTCAGGTAAGATATAAAGTGGCATTAAATGGTGGGCGTCAATTTCCCTTGAGAGGCCACCACTGCAGAGACATCCAAGGATATTCTTGTTGTTGCTCTAAACCTTCTGTTCTACCCAGTGCTTTTTTTCTTAAAAAATGTTTAGGGGTACTCTCATTTTCCTACTCAGATTGAAATACTGACCCTTAATGGGGGCCAAACTTGGATTCACAAAATGTTTAGGGGTATGCGTCCCCCTGCATCTCCTCAGAAAAACCCCACTGGTTCTACCTGTGACATGCATTACGGTGAGCTCTGGGGCTTGTCACCCCAGTCGATTCTCAAACACAGGACACAGAAGAAGAACCAAGTTCTTTCTCCCTCCATCCTGGAGAAAAATGGTAGCTCTGTGGCAGAGCTTCTCTTTTGCATACAGAAGGGCCCAGGTTTATTCCCGGCATCTCCAGGTAAGGACTGGGAAAGACTCCCTTTCTGAAACCTGGAATGCTGCTGCCTGTCAGTGTAGACATCATTGATCTCGAGGGAGCAATGGTCTGACTTAGTAGAAGGCAGCCTCCTACGTTTCTCCACTTTCAGATCCTTTCCACCACACAGACAAGCATTGTGGTGCAGGGTGGGGGAGAGAACTGTGGGGAAATCATTTCCAGAGGACTTGTCTGAGGAGAATTAAGGCCTGTGAGCTACAGACTCTGCTCACAAGCCTTGGCACAGGGCAGAGCCTGCCAAGCCGAGTGCCTTTCCACTCTGCTGCTCACACAGGCACTGCGAGACGGAAGGGGCTGCCTTTCCAGGAGCCCGAGGGGGAAATCTCAGCTTGGCCCCTCCACCACTTTCATTTTCTCCTTTACAAGCATATTAGTGGAAGCTGGAAGCGCGCTGAAGGCTGAGGCACGTGAGAGGAGCAGCAAGCTGATTATGCTGCTAAATAAAAATTAGGTTTAAGGCACAGCATTATTATCTGTTTGCAATTAGAGTGGTTTTGGGGCGTTGCATTAAGCACTTCTTTTATTTGATCTTAAATGGCAGCATTGTTTTCTTGAAATACTCGGCCCTGGGACATTATGGTGCGGGGGGGGGGGGGGTAAGGAATCCCAGAGATACATACCAAATAAATAGAGCAAATGTTTTCTTCCTCTCCATCCTCACAATGCTCCTTGCTGACTCCATGGTTTGTTTTCTTCCTCTTTTGCTTCTTTTTCAAGGCCCTCCTTTCTGTCTCCCTCAATTCACAGAGTCTTACACAGGGCCGGACCATCCATCCATCTAGCCTGGGGCTGTCTGACTCGAAGGAGCTCTATGGTATCATGGACCAGAAAGAGAGAGATTTTAAAATGGAGGGGCTGGGGGTTGGATCTTTTGTATACAGAGCTCGTGCCTTTCCACCATGGTCCCTTCCCACAGTCACCATTTGAACTGTAAGCTCCTTGAGGCAGGTCACTGTGTTACAGCAGTGGGAGAATGTGCTTCAGCTGAAGGGTCACATTATCTTCTGGACAGCCTTCCAGCGGCTGAATGCCAGTGGTGGGAGGAGCCAGGGGTAAATGGGGGGAGGGATAAATGGTATATTTCCACAGTAGAATGGTTTCTGCACACCCACCCACCCCATCCATTGAGCAAGGGCACATTCCAGCCAGGCAAAGACACTCAGGGAAGGTGCAAGCAGGATGGGCAAGGGGTGTGGCTGAACCAGGGGTCTGACCTGGAAAAAGTCCCAAGTGCCAGAGAGAGAAGCCTGGAGGGCTACATTTCTTCCCTGATTCTGAGATTCCCCATCTCTCACAGCCACCCGGAGTCATCCATGGTATAATTTTGCTTTTCTGCATCTGGGACAATTTCTAGAACAGGATTGCAACACCTTATTGTTAGTCCACCTGTCTTGGAATTTTTTCTTTTTCTTTTTTGACTGCAAAAATAAGTTATGCAGCTTGGTTCCTCCACACTCACACCTCTTGCCAATGAATTTTTTTGCTATTCTGCTCAGGGTGCTTCTCTTAAAAAGAAGGAACAAAACAAACCCAGAAAACACCAGCAACAGCAAAAGGAAAAGGAAAAAGGAACAGATAATGTCCAGAAGGTTATTTGGCAGAATAAGGATCTGCTCTCATCCGTGTCTCCTCCATCATTCCACATGTCAGTGTCAGCTCTCAGCAATAATGCTTATCTTTTGTTACCTTGTTAACTGCTGGGCATGGAGCAGCAAAATTCATCAAGAGGCTTTCCCAATGGCCGTCTGCCTGGGGAGGCCAGCAGGACTGAGAGAGGGACATATTCACAGCCCAGTTGTGATCATTCAGGCACCTACAGTACATCTCTTGGATCTGGAAACAGAAGTCTGATAGTAGGGGAGGGGAACCATAGGTCCTGCAGGCCACAGAATGTGGCCGTCTGGACTCCCCCCAGGCCACAGCCCTTATCCCCAGGCTATGCCCCCCCATCAATCCTGCTCTTTCCCCCTTTTCTGCCTTCCCCTGGTGGAATCTTCTTTATTCGTTCATTTTATTCATCCCTCTCCGGCTCCCCCTTTTGCCCCACAATGACCCTGTAAGGTAGGTTCAACTGCAAGTCTGTGACAGTGTCCCAGGGCTACCCAGCAAGATCCGAGGCTGAGTGAAGATTTGAAGAGGGTCTCGCAGAACCTGGCCCAGGAGTCTAAGCACAGCACCCCAGCTGGTTCTTTGTCTCCAAACTGTAATGATGCCTCTTGCTTCCCTGGAAGAGTGTTTGTTTGTTTGTGTGTGAGAGACTTTTGCATGGCTGGAATGCCAAGGTAAAAGTCATGTCCATTTACCTCTGGCCATGTGGCCCCCAGAAGGTAGCCTGTGAGGGAATGTGGCACTCGTTCTGAAAAGGTTTCTCCAGGCCATCCTTTTTCATGCATGGTGTGTCGGCTGTTTGTCGTCCCCTAATTTCATTGTCCCATTCATTTTCATCACAAAGGCATCTTCAATTATTCATTCATTGCAAGCCCATTGGTTCTGCTCCCCATTCATTTATGTTATGTACTGAAGTTCTCACCCTGGGCCAGCAGGGGGATACTGTAGATAGTTATGCAAATGAAGGATCGAAAGTGACATTCAATGATTGGATAGTTTGTATGCAAATGAAGGATTGAAAGTGACGTTCAGTGATTGGATAGTTTTAGAAAATGGCAACAGTTACATTGTTCTGGAGCTCTATATAAGCAGGCTGAGTGAGCTCCTCAGCCAGTTCTGTTCCAGCTTACAAATAAAGAGCTGCTTTGGAAGAATCGCTGTGTCGTCTGCTATATCTACCCACAACTTAACAATTTAGACTCGTTCCTTACATTTGGTTTCATTCTTTTTCGGGTAGTTCTGCTGCTGCTGTTTGTAGCAGCAGAGCCGGTTCCAGCAGCTATTCCTGTCACCTGCCGTATCATTTCCCCAGGATGTTGCACTCTTCCAGCATGACACCTCAGGTCCACTGGCAAAATAAAATGGTGATCAGAGTCCAAACATTTACAACCACCCCACACCAAGAGACTTTGTTCCAAGTTTGGCAATATCTCAAGAGGTGGCCGAAACTATGTCAAAAAATAGACGAAGTCATGCCAAAGTGATGCTTCTGCCTGCCATATTGATTCAAAATGGCACTGAGTGTCCAAACAGCAACAATGTCTGGGAACCCTGGTGCCAAGTTTGCTGATCATCTCTCCAGAGGCATCCAAATCTATAGAAGCCAAACCGATACAGTGGTGGAGCATATACTCCTGCCACCTGGGGTGGGCGCACTAGGTGCTTCCCCGAGGGGTGTGTGGTGTGAAGGAAGCCTGTTGCCCCTGACCTGGCCAGGCACGAGTATGCTGCCTTGACTGCACCCTTGCGTGGTGTCACCGAGGAGAGGCATGGCAACACTGCCACACTCCTCTCTCTGCCCCTGGGTCAGGCTGCTTGGGCTAATAGGTGGGCATTCGCATGCTGGGTGGAGCGTAGAAGGTGATGCTCTTCAGCCTCTGAACTCACCCAGCCGTGTGCACCCGGGGCAACAGCCCCCCTGGTACCCCCCACGCTACGGCATTGAACGCACAGACAACCCATTTCCCAAAATAGAATCATAGAATCATAGAGTTGGAAGAGACCACAAGGGCCATCGAGTCCAACCCTCTGCCAAGCAGGAAACACCATCAGAGCACTCCTGACATATGGTTGTCAAGCCTCTGCTTAAAGACCTCCAAAGAAGGAGACTCCACCACACTCCTTGGCAGCAAATTCCACTGTCGAACAGCTCTTACTGTCAGGAAGTTCTTCCTAATATTTAGGTGGAATCTTCTTTCTTGTAGTTTGGATCCATTGCTCCGTGTCCGCTTCTCTGGAGCAGCAGAAAACAACCTTTCTCCCTCCTCTATGTGACATCCTTTTATATATTTGAACATGGCTATCATATCACCCCTTAACCTCCTCTTCTCCAGGCTAAACATGCCCAGCTCCCTTAGCCGTTCCTCATAAGGCATCGTTTCCAGGCCTTTGACCATTTTGGTTGCCCTCCTCTGGACACGTTCCAGTTTCTCAGTGTCCTTCTTGAACTGTGGTGCCCAGAACTGGACACAGTACTCCAGGTGAGGTCTGACCAGAGCAGAATACAGTGGCACTATTACTTCCCTTGATCTAGATGCTATACTCCTAGTGATGAGGCCCAGAATTGCATTGACTTTTTTAGCTGCCGCGTCACACTGTTGGCTCATGTCAAGTTTGTGGTCAACCAAGACTCCTAGATCCTTTTCGCATGTACTGCTCTCAAGCCAGGTGTCCCCCATCTTGTATTTGTGCCTCTCATTTTTTTTGCCCAAGTGCAATACTTTACATTTCTCCCTGTTAAAATTCATCTTGTTTGTTTTTGCGCAGTTCTCTAATCTGTCAAGGTCGTTTTGAAGTGTGATCCTGTCCTCTGGGGTGTTAGCCACTCCTACCAGTTTGGTGTCATCTGCAAATTTGATCAGGATGCCCTTGAGTCCATCATCCAAGTCATTGATAAAGATGTTGAATAAGACCGGGCCCAAGACAGAACCCTGTGGCACCCCACTAGTCACTCTTCTCCAGGATGAAGAGGAGCCATTGATGAGCACCCTTTGGGTTCGGTCAGTCAGCCAGTTACAAATCCACTGAGTGGTAGCATAGTCAAGACCGCATTTTACCAGCTTCTTTACAAGAATATCATGGGGCACCTTGTCAAATGCCTTGCTGAAATCAAGGTAGGCTACATCCACTGCATTCCCTTCATCTACCAGGCTTGTAATTCTGTCAAAAAACGAGATCAGGTTAGTCTGACATGACTTATTTTTCAGAAATCCATGCTGACTATTGGTGATCACAGCATTCCTTTCTAGGTGCTCACAGACTGTTTGCTTAATGATCTGCTCCAGAATCTTCCCTGGTATTGATGTCAGACTGACTGGGCGGTAATTATTTGGGTCCTCTCTTTTCCCCTTTTTGAAAATAGGGACAACATTTGCCCTCCTCCAGTCTGCCAGGACTTCGCCTGTTCTCCAGGAATTCTCAAAGATGACTGCCAGTGGTTCTGAGATCACATCTGCCACTTCTTTTAATACTCTTGGGTGCAGTTCATCTGGCCCTGGAGACTTGAATACATCTAAACTAGCCAAGTATTCTTGTACTATCTCCTTAGTTATTCTGGGCTGTGTTTCCTCTGCTGAATCATTTGCTCCAAATTCTTCAGGTCGGGCATTGTTTTCTTTATCGGAGAAGACTGAGGCAAAGAAGGCATTGAGGAGTTCAGCCTTTTCTGTGTCCCCTGTTTGCATTTCACCATCTTCTCCTCTGAGTGACCCCACTGTTTCTTTGTTCTTCCTTTTGCTACGGACATACCCATAAAAGCCTTTTTGGTTGCTTTTAACCTCTCTAGCAAGCCTGAGTTCATTCTGTGCTTTAGCTTTTCTGACTTTGTGTCTACACGTGCTGGCTATTTGTTTGAATTCCTCTTTGGTGGTTTCCCCCTTTTCCATTTTTTGTACACATCCTTTTTTAATCTTAACTCAGTTAAAAGTTCTTTACATAGCCACCCTGGCTTCTTTAGGCACCTTCCATGTTTCCGTCTCATTGGTATTGCCTGAAGTTGTGCTTTTACTATCTCCCTCTTAACAAACTCCCAGCCATCATGAACTCCCTTTCCTTTTAGTATTACTGTCCATGGGATCTCAACCAGCACTTCCCTAAGTTTTATGAAGTCGGCTTTCTTAAAGTCAAGAAATTGAGTCCTAGTATGCTTGGCTGCTCCTTTCTGCTGTATAGTAAACTTCAGAAGAGCATGATCACTCGCGCCTAATGATCCTTCCACTTCTACCCCACTAACCAGGTCATCAGCATTGGTTAGGACCAGATCTAAAATGGCTGTTCCTCTTGTTGTTTCTTCCACTTTCTGGACAACGAAGTTGTCTGCAAGGCCAGTGAGGAATCTGTTTGACCTTATGCTCTTGGCTGAGTTTGACATCCAACAAATATCCGGGTAATTGAAGTCCCCCATTACTACTATCTCCCTTCCTTTTGCATGCTTGGCCATCTGTTCCAGGAAGGCATCATCTATGTCCTCCGTTTGGCTTGGGGATCTATAGTAAACTCCCACAATGAGGTCACTGTTATTCTTCTCTCCCTTAATTTGGACCCAAATGCTCTCACTTTGGCTTTGAGGTTCTAAATCTTGGATCTCTTCACAGGTATACACATCCCTGACATATAACGCCACTCCTCCTCCTTTCTTGTCTGGTCTGTTTCTCTGAAATAGACTGTATCCCTCCATTATTATCCCAAAGGTCATCTAGTCCAACCCCCTGCAATGCAGGAATCTCAGCTATCATGCCCGGTGGTTATGGAAGTGTTGTGGAATAGAAAGATGCAGTCTCTGCTTTAGGGTCCAAGACTCCACAGGGCCTTTGCAGAACCACTAGTGATTTCTTAGCCAACTGTGCTGTCCCAATGAGGCCCATGAAATCCAATATGATGTAGTGGATAAAGCAGGGATGGCTGACCACTGGCCCTGGTACCAGATAAGCCACCCAAAAAAACAGCCCCTCCCAAGACCCATACATTTTGCTGGTGATAGTATTGCAAAAATAGCATTCAATACAGGCAGCAAGATAGAGAAGTTTAAACTTCTTCACCCTGTTCAGGGTCCCCATAGGGAGGTCAACTGAGCACTCACCTGAGTTTTGCAGAGACATAATGAACCTTCCTTTTCAGCTGTGTTCTTTGTGAGGGTGGGCAAGACTATGAGGTGGCCACACAACAGTGGTGTGGAGCCCCCAATGGTTAGCCTCAGGCCAAAAAAAGGTTGGCCACCTCTGGGATAGGGAAACAAGGGTTCAAATCTCATTTCTTCCATGAAACTCATAGAGGGACCTCAGCCTAGCCTGCCTCACAGTGCTGTTGTTTATGTCGGGAGTGAGCATGGCAAGGTTGAGCTGAAGGAATGGGTTTCTGTGCAGTCAGTTTAAAACTGACCCTTTTCTTCTTAGCCTGACGTGGTTGGATTCCTGGGGAAGGAGAGAGAGGGTGCCTGGAGTATAAACTACATGTATAAACTACATGAAACCTGTCATTTCTTTGGACTTGCTGTGGACTCACCATGCAAGTGCCTTCTGCTATCCGGAGAGCAGAATAAACTCTTTCTTTGAACCAACCTCGGTGTCATTTGACTTCCTTCCTCCTGTCCCAGAGCAACGCAGACCCAATTGGTGAACTCCAATAAGGCTACAGAGCCATTGTGGGGAAAGATGAGGTCTGAGGAGAGAGCTGAAGACAGAGTGGTGGCAGCCCACAGCTGCTCTCAAAGAGAGGCCTGACCATAATGGAGAGCAAAATAGAGTGGGTAGAGAGTCATTTGATGGAGCAACTCCAACGCTACAATTTTGTGATTCTATGACTATAAAAACTAAACCAAAGCAAACCAAGGCTGGCATGGAATATTGCATTCAGAAGAATATATTTTTTTTCTGACAAAGCTAGTTTTCAGGATATTTGTGATGAGATGCAGACAGGTAAAAGGGATGTGGGTGGTGCTGTAAGTTAAACCATAGAGCCTAGGACTTGCCGATCAGAAGGTTGGCGGTTCGAATCCCCGCGATGGGGTGAGCTCCCATTGCTCGGTCCCTGCTCCTGCCAACCTAGCAGTTCGAAAGCACATCAAAGTGCAAGTAGATAAATAGGTACCGCTCTGGCGGAAACGGCATTTCCATGTGCTGCTCTGGTTCGCCAGAAGTGGCTTAGTCATGCTGGCCACATGACCCAGAAGCTGTACGCCAGCTCCCTCGGCCAATAAAGCGAGATGAGCGCTGCAACCCCAGAGTCGGCCACGACTGGACTTATCCGTCAGGGGTCCCTTTACCTTTACCAACAGGTAAATGGAGAGTGCCATAATAAGAAATGGTAATGAACGGTGTGGTGCACCTCACTTGCAAAATATCTCTGGGGCACAAGCCTGGGCAATGTGCCTGGAAGTCCTGGGCTGCCCGGATGACAAGACCCGCCTCATGGCTTCACTGATGGGGTCCAAAGGAAAGCAGAGCAAGACGTTTGGCTGCAGGAAGGAGATGTACAAGCAGGAGTATAGGAAAGTGGGGTAGGGGTCCGCCCCGGGTGCCACCATGGAGGGGGGGTGACAAATTATCAAGGAACAATTACTGCCCTACTAGGGCGGTTCATTAAAAAAAACTTTAAAAAAAAAATGCCTGCTCCAAAGGTCTTATCTTACTACACTAGGGATTATATAGCTATATGTGAAAGTTCATGCATATCAGTTAATATCTTGACCCTCCTCCACAAAAATAGCTGTTTACTTGGCCGTTTCCCTATATCGTGAAGGCTGAAATTTCAATTCAGTGGAGCAGGGTCAAAAAAAAGTTTTTTATGACCCGTCCTACTGCCCCACCCTCCGCTTGGCTTCCCAGGTCCTGGAAAGTCGGCCTAGGTGAAGAAAATGAGACGCCGCCGAGTAGACTAGGCCTTGCCTTGCCTTCGCCCCCTCCCGCCTGCAGCCGATTTCTTCCCCTAGGCCGACTTTCTGGGCTGCTGAGGCGGCCTGCCAAGGCCGCTGCCTGTCCTGCGCACCCCATTTGGGCCCAAACCCCTCTCCAAAAAACCTTTGCTGCACCCAAAAGTGGAGCGTGTGGGACAATGGCAGTGCTGCCGCCCTGTTTTGCCCGCGTGTGGCGCCGGGAGGAGCAGCTTGGCAGGCCGGCCTCCCCTTTGCCCCCAGCCTCCCCTGCGTGAAGCTAGGACCCCCCCCCCCCCAAAAAAAGCAGTTGTGTAATTAAAAGAAGTTGAGAAAAAGCAGCAAAGCTATTCTGTGGCTAATTGACCAATTAGGGTCTATTAATGAAGTTCACACTTTTGACAACCAGTCTGATGCTTTTGCAGAAAAATATTCCTGTACAGCAAACTGTACATTCCCACCCCTCTCCCCAAAGCTGGATTTTATTTACTTTTGTGTGCTGGTGTATCTGTGTCTCCCTTGTATCTATTAGGGACTATTCTCTCCTTTCCTTTGATATCTATGCTACTGATTACTTCTGCCGTTTTAATTTTAGAGAAAGTTTTTAATTTTAAAAGGATCTGTACTATAGAATAACAGTGGTAACAATACATTGAAGACAAGTAAATCTTTTGGGGAAGGTGGTCCCAGAGCCCTAGAGCCCCCACCCCAAAGAGGATCAAATGGGCGGACTTTGGCACTCTTTTGTCCCGTCCTCCCCCAAGGTCTTTCTCTCTATCTGAGCTGGATCCCTGCCTGTTACGTTACATGCGGGGAAACTGCATGTAAAGTCTTTAAGTTGTTCCTGCGCGCGCCTGGCAAATCTGCCCCATTGTCAAAATTTATTTTCCCCACCACCTCCAGTCTCCGTTGTTGTGTGTCCTGGCTGAGGGGGAAAACAAAAGACGGATGGTCATCGGTCAGGGATGGTCTAGTTGAGATTCCTTCATTGCCCCAGGGGTTTGGCTAGATGACCCGCAGGGGTCCCTTCCAACTCTACAATTCTCTGGATGCAAGGGGTGCATAGGATTGCAGCCCATCTTATGCACCGCCGGCTCGGGAATAAGTCCCACTGATCATGATCAGACTAGATTGCTGCTGTGCAGTCCTGTTTTTGAAATAAACCTTTTCCTTTTCAGATAATACAGAGCATGGTGAAATCACAATAAATAAACCCTCCCCTTCAGTAGTTTCAAGCACTACTACTGGTTCCACATAACATCTGTACTGCATTGTTTACTGTGACAGCACCTGCACTTTGGAACTCCCCGCCTACATGCCTTTGCTAGACTCTTTTCAGGCACCTGCTAAAAGCATTATTCTTTAGGCAAGCATACCTAGATGCTTAGGAAGTAGAAGCAATTTTAATCTTAATATTTTAGCTTTTGTATGTTTTAAAGTAGGATTGTTAATTTTTCTTGATTTTACTGCTGTGTTTTTTTTTCTTTTTTCTTTTGGTAAACCACTTTGCAGGTTTTTTTAAATACATTTTATTAAATAAATAAACAATAAATATAAATAAAATAACACAAGCCAAAACACAATCCATCCTGTAGATTTAAGTATCTGTCCATAGTCGCCTACTTGTTATCAGAGGCCCAGAATCCACATTCCTTTGTAAGAAAACATGAAATAATGTAAAACCATTTTTGCAGGCAATTTTTTTTTTAAAAAAATCAATGTGTATGTGTATGTGTGGGGGGGGGGGTGACAAGAAATTTTCCGCACCAGGTACCACCTGACCTTCCTCTGTGTACAAGGAGCCATCCCACTGTCTTAGGGACTCCGCTCTGGATTTGTATAGGGTTTATTTAAGGAGTAATGCCTTTTCTTCTGCCGAAAATATCCCACAAGGCAGCAGAGGTTTAAGATCAGAGTTTTCCTTCTCCTAGAGGACTACTTTCCCAGGTGGATGAGTCCCATCTGCCCCTCACTTCCCTCTGCAGGACATACAGAAACCCCCGTTGGACCCACTATTGGTTTGATCCACTCCATCCGCCAGAGCCTGTCTTCACATGCAGGGGAAATACACTCTGGATTTCTGCAGGGTTTACTCTTTAGCCTTTTCTTCTCCGGAAGATGTCCTGCAAGGCAGTGGCTACTGCTTTTTCCTCAGGGTTTACTCCCAGAGCCTTTCTTATGAATGAGTGTAGCCGCAAGGCAGTGGAGGTTTAGAACAAGAGTTTTCCCTCTCCAAAATCGGCCACCTTCCCAGGATGATACAGAAACATAAACCTATGACTGAAACCATGAGAGGCTCAAGGAGTACCAAGGGGGGGGGGAGGGGCTCTGGTTGTTGGGATACTGCCAGGGAGACAAAGGCCATCATGGTTCCACGTCGCCTCCGGACGATCCATCGATCTCCCGTAGATACAGTATCAGTCAATTAGCGACACGAAGCCTCAGAAATAGCTTGCCACATTCCAGAGCTCGTGCACGCTCTATCAGCAGAGTTCGCACAACGAAAGATGCACTCAAGAGAGCATATTATTCAGCGTTGGTCAGAACAAAGAAAAAACATGACTGCCTGCTTCAATGTCTCAGGCACAGAGAGAAAATGAAAGCATATACAAAAGAGAAACTTCCTGTGAACAGGAAATACGCAGACTCTGTGACTCACAAAGCCTGCTCCCTTTTAAGGTGGAACGGAAATATCCTAACACTGATTACATCAAGAAAAATGTTCAGCCAATTAGATGTAACTCACCTCAAATTTCTTGAGAGACTTGTGGAAGAGAGAAATGTATTTTTGTTTATGTATTCAATAAAATCCCAACAAACAGAGACAAAAATGGTCACCTTTGTTTTTCCTTTCAAAATATGGGTGCAGCAGGTGAGCTTTTCATATAATGCAATTTTCTCTATATTACTCCACCATAATGAATTTGAATAGATTTGTGGAATCCTGTGTTGAAGCCATCTGAGTTGGTGGCCATTGTGGCTTTTTGTGGGCGCTGTCTCCATAGTTTAACTATACACTGTGTGAATAATTATCTTTTGTCTGTCTGTCCTGAATTTTCCAAATTTCAACATCATTGAATTTTCCTGGGTTTGAATATCATGAGAAAGAGACTTTCTCTCTCTCCTCAATGTATAATCTTTTGCACCTCTATCACGTCCCCTCCTTATTTTCCTACTATGATAGCACAGGGCATTTTGACTGACTGGCTCAGGATATTCTGGGGTATTAAGGACAAAGAGATAGGGTGAAGACAGGGCTGTGGAAGGCTTTGAAAATAACAGCACAGAACTGGTGCTTTAGTCATCTTTGTGCTAAAAATTACATTTTTGTAACACCAAGACTAGATGGTGCGGTGTGTGCCTTAATGCAACACAGCATTGCTATATAATCAAGATGTCACAGCATCATAATGTTGCATGCTGGCTGAGAGCTCTCTCTCTCTCTCTCTCTCTCTCTCTCTCTCTCTCACACACACACACACACACACACACAGTGCCATTTCATGATGGTGAAAGAATGACAAGGAAAGCCATGTGTTTGGTTTGTTTTCCCCATAATGTTAATTCAATTATTTCTGCTTCAATGAATGAAGAATTTGTTTAAAGAAGTACCAGTGATCCCGCCCGCCTTATCATGTTTCCAGGCGGGCTTTGGATCTTCAGCAGCAATAGAAAGGCTCTGCATTGATGCTCAGATACACTACATTGCTCCGCCTATTCCAGGGCTAAGCACTGAAAACAGGTTCCAGAATTAAGCCCTGAGAAGACCATAGATGACCTGAAATTTCTTCATGGAACTTTCTAACCCCCAAGTGAAGGCTTTGGGGAGAGCAAAAAGTTTCATGAAATTGACTCCCGTTCTCTCTGTTGCCACCCATACTTGCTTTATGGTGCAGGCAGCAGCAGTTCCACTTCTAGAAGTCCTGTTGCCTTGTGGAAAAGACCTTTCTTTCTTTCTTTCTTTCTTTCTTTCTTTCTTTCTTTCTTTCCTTCTTTCCTTCTTTCTCTCTTTCTCTCTTTCTCTCTTTCTATCTCTCTTTCTTTCTTTCTCTCTCTCTCTCTTTCTTTCTTTCTTTCCTTCCTTGAAAGGCTCGAGAGTCAGGGGTGTAGGAAGGGGGGTGCGGCCCACCTCAGGTGTCATCCTTGAGGGGTGTGACAAAATGGAACACCATGGGGGCCTGGCCTGCAGCGTGCCTGAGCCACGCGTCTCTCCTGGGAGTAACGTGGTGGCTTGGGTCCCCGCACTGCCCGAAACGGCAGCATGGGGCTTGTGTCTGCCAGGCAGACTCCATGGGCAGCTCACCGCACCGTCCCCTGGGGTGGATCGCTGCAGTGCCCTGTGCCCAGATTGCCGCGGCACCCCTGTGGGAGGATCGCCCCACCCCCGCCGCTCCGGATGCCAGAGCAGCTAGCTACACCCCTGTCCAGAGTGAAGGCACAACGCATTGCCATCTCTCTGACTTGGTTTCATGACACTTAGTTTACTGCCCTTGCTCTCACTTGACTTCATGACAATTCCATGATGCATCCAGAGTGAAGGCAATACTCCCTGCTTTTACTTGGGATATTTTCAAGTAAAAGAAAGGAAGAAGGGCTCCTTCTTCAAGGCTCCAGCAGGGCTCCTGATGCTATGTTTGCATGATACTGCCCTCTCTGCCAACATGCCCCTCCTCCTCCCCATAAGCAGCAGTGACTCACCTGATGGGAGGTCAGGAAAGTGCCTCCATCCCCCATGCCAGGGGTGTACAACCTGTGGCCTTCCAGATGTTTCTGGACTACACCTCCTATTAGCCACAGCCAGCATAGCTGTGATGGCCTGGGATTCGGATTCGGATGCTGAACCTGAGGAATCCCAGCCTGCACAGGATTCCCTGCCTCCAGAACCAGCAGACCCGGGGCTGGGGCATGAGCCTGAAGGCTCCTCACCTGTGCTGGATCCTCAGGTGCAGGCACCAGCTGAGTCTGCTCTGGCTCCTGAGGGGGTGGAGGACCCATTGCCTGCAGGTGCTCCACTCTCAGCCCCATCAGGGGAAGCTGAGGTTGCCTCTGGGTCCGGTAACCCTCCAGCTTCTCCCGAGCTGCAGAGGCTCAGGGCAGAGAGGCGGAGGGAACTAAGTTCCCGCAGGAGGAGTGCTCACCTCCAGGCCAGGAGAGGCGAGTCACCTGAGGATCAGGGCCGCCCTGTGCCTCGGGGCAGATAAAAGCCAGCCAGCCTCAGTCCCAAGTTGCGGGAGCAATTTCGTTGGTTGTCAGTTCCTGCCTGAACCCTGTCCTGCTATCCTGCTGGAGCTCCTGACCTCACCCGCCTACCTGCCCTGCATCCAGCTTCAACTTCTTTGTACTGTCTCCTTACTGCACCTTTGACCTCGGACTGGACTTGGACCTCGCCTCTTGGTTAGCCCACGGGACCAGCACAATAGCCATTGATCAGGAAGGTGGGAGGTGTAGTCCAGAAACATCTGGAGGGCCACAGGTTGTGCACCCTTGCCCCATGTCACCAACAACTGGAAAAAAGGCCACCAGGAACTGAATGTGTGCTCACTGCCACTCTAAATCTTGCTCGTTTTGTTCATGCCCCTCCAAAATTGCCCCAATGCCAACCTGACTTTGTGTCATGCAAAGATGCACCAAATTTGTATGTGTGCATGTGTGTGTGTGTGTGTGTGTGTGTGTGTGTGTGCATGCAGATGCATTGGGGCTGGGTGGGGGTTTCAGCTCTGCTCTAGATAAGACCTTCTCCAGACTGAGCCATGGCTTTGGTGGCAATGTGCTGTGGGTATAACCTCACTTGGCGTTTATGTCTGTGCCATGAGATTTCATTCATTAATGCTTTGTGAAGTCTGCTGTGATTGTTGAATGGGGATTGCTATGTAGAGAATGGTTAGAGGGCTGGAGAACCCTGCTTGCTGCAGGAGAGAGAATTCATCTCCGTCTTTTTAGTTTACCGGATAAGAAGGTGAAGAGGTGACTTAATGATGCCTCATCAGGGCCTTCCCAGGGAAGAAGAGTATTGGGGACTAAAGAGCAATTTCATCCAGAAGAGTGGAGAGAGGCAGAACAGAAGCTGAGATCAGCATGGCACTGACGTCTCTTGACAAATTCAAGGAAGGAAGGAAGGGCTAAGGATGATTCATTGTTTTGGAACACTTTCCCATGCCTGGGATGGGCTGGCAAGGTTTATTTTCTTCTCTTTTACATTGCAGTTCTCAGCCTTCTAAAGATGTAATTCATGGATTGGACTGAGGGCATAATAAGTGATGAACATTGCACCAGGAGTTTCTGGTGCAGGCAGCAATTGCATCATGGAATCGTAGAGTTGGGAATGACCCCAAGAGTCATCTAGTCCAACCCCCTGCAATCCAGGAATCTCAGCTAAAGTCTCCATGACAGACGGCCATCCAGCCTCTGCTTAAAAGCCTCCCAATGACTGTTAGCTCCTTCTCCCTTAGTCTCAGTATTACCTTGTGGAATTCAACAGGGAGTAGGGGGACAAAAGCAGAAGTAGTTGGCTCTGCCTGTCATTGGCTCTGGCCCCACCCCATTGGACTCCCTGCCTCCCACCCTACCAGTCCAAATGGGCACCAGCCAACACTCCATGGCACTTTACAAAAAAATGAGAGGATACATCTCTGCCCTGAGGGACAAGAGAGACATGAGAGAGAAGCAGAGGCAGAAGAGAATCTACTGCTGCTGACCTCTTGGTCATATCCTCAGAACCCAATATGGCAAAGAAAAAACCCCATTGATTGTTAGTATCATATTTTTATTGTATTGTATGTTGAAAACTTTCAATAAAAAATCAGATAAAATGAAAGAAACTCACTAAGCCTGAGTTCTCTTTCTTTGTCTTTCTGGACCGTATTTTGAAATATTAGACCCTTAGTCAGAAATTGAAATAAGCCAATGGAATTGCTCATTGCTAGGTCTGGAACTTTTTGTCAACTGTGTATAAAGTCTCCAAGCTGATGCCATCTGCCTGGGAACTGGAGTTGGCGTATTCTCTTGGTGCCAAGAAGGTTCATTCAAGCTGTGTTTCCATTTATACCCTCCCTCTCCCTCTTCTTCTTCTTCACTTTCAATACATATTTGATTATATAAAGGCTTTGGTTGACATTGGTAAGTACACTTGCAATGGTGGTTCTCTTGTGTTCTTTCAAATACAGTGGAATAATTTTTTAAAAAGCTTATGAAGTCTTTGCCCCTCCTCCCAGTTGCTCAATTTTCAGGCATCACTGAAACCTGGTGGGATAAGTCCCACGATTGGAATGTAATAATGGGGGGATACAATCTATTTCAGAGAAACAGACCAGACAAGAAAGGAGGAGGAGTGGCGTTATATGTCAGGGATGTGTATACCTGTGAAGAGATCCAAGATTTAGAACCTCAAAGCCAAAGTGAGAGCATTTGGGTCAAAATTAAGGGAGAGAAGAATAAGAGTGACCTCATTGTGGGAGTTTACTATAGATCCCCAAGCCAAACGGAGGACATAGATGATGCCTTCCTGGAACAGATGGCCAAGCATGCAAAAGGAAGGGAGATAGTAGTAATGGGGGACTTCAATTACCCGGATATTTGTTGGATGTCAAACTCAGCCAAGAGCATAAGGTCAAACAGATTCCTCACTGGCCTTGCAGACAACTTCATTGTCCAGAAAGTGGGAGAAGCAACAAGAGGAACAGCCATTTTAGATCTGGTCCTAACCAATGTTGATGACCTGGTTAGTGGGGTAGAAGTGGAAGGATCATTAGGCGCGAGTGATCATGCTCTTCTGAAGTTTACTATACAGCGGAAAGGAGCAGCCAAGCATACTAGGACTCAATTTCTTGACTTTAAGAAAGCTGACTTCATAAAACTTAGGGAAGTGCTGGGTGAGATCCCATGGACAGTAATACTAAAAGGAAAGGGAGTTCATGATGGCTGGGAGTTTGTTAAGAGAGAGATAGTAAAAGCACAACGTCAGGCAATACCAATGAGACGGAAACATGGAAGGTGCCTAAAGAAGCCAGGGTGGCTATCTAAAGAACTTTTAACTGAGTTAAGATTTAAAAAGGATGTGTACAAAAATGGAAAAGGGGGAAACCACCAAAGAGGAATTCAAACAAATAGCCAGCACGTGTAGACACAAAGTCAGAAAAGCTAAAGCACAGAATGAACTCAGGCTTGCTAGAGAGGTTAAAAGCAACAAAAAAGGCTTTCATGGGTATGTTCGTAGCAAAAGGAAGAACAAAGAAACAGTGGGGTCACTCAGAGGAGAAGATGGTGAAATGCAAACAGGGGACACAGAAAGGGCTGAACTCCTCAATGCCTTCTTTGCCTCAGTCTTCTCCGATAAAGAAAACAATGCCCGACCTGAAGAATTTGGAGCAAATGATTCAGCAAAGGAAACACAGCCCAGAATAACTAAGGAGATAGTACAAGAATACTTGGCTAGTTTAGATGTATTCAAGTCTCCAGGGCCAGATGAACTGCATCCAAGAGTATTAAAAGAAGTGGCAGATGTGATCTCAGAACCACTGGCAGTCATCTTTGAGAATTCCTGGAGAACAGGTGAAGTCCCGGCAGACTGGAGGAGGGCAAATGTTGTCCCTATTTTCAAAAAGGGGGAAAGAGAGGACCCAAATAATTACCGCCCAGTCAGTCTGACATCAATACCAGGGAAGATTCTGGAGTGGATCATTAAGCAAACAGTCTGTGAGCACCTAGAAAGGAATGCTGTGATCACCAATAGTCAGCATGGATTTCTGAAAAATAAGTCATGTCAGACTAACCTGATCTCGTTTTTTGACAGAATTACAAGCCTGGTAGATGAAGGGAACGCAGTGGATGTAGCCTACCTTGATTTCAGCAAGGCATTTGACAAGGTGCCTCACGATATCCTTGTAAAGAAGCTGGTAAAATGTGGTCTTGACTATGCTTCCACTCAGTGGATTTGTAACTGGCTGACTGACCGAACCCAAAGGGTGCTCATCAATGGTTCCTCTTCATCCTGGAGAAGAGTGACTAGTGGGGTGCCACAGGGTTCTGTCTTGGGCCCGGTCTTATTCAACATCTTTATCAACGACTTGGATGATGGACTCAAGGGCATCCTGATCAAATTTGCAGATGACACCAAACTGGGAGGGGTGGCTAACACCCCAGAGGACAGGATCACACTTCAAAACGACCTTGACAGATTAGAGAACTGGGCCAAAACAAACAAGATGAACTTTAACAGGGAGAAATGTAAAGTATTGCACTTGGGCAAAAAAAAATGAGAGGCACAAATACAAGATGGGTGACACCTGGCTTGAGAGCAGTACATGTGAAAAGGATCTAGGAGTCTTGGTTGACCACAAACTTGACATGAGCCAACAGTGTGACGCGGCAGCTAAAAAGCCAATGCAATTCTGGGCTGCATCAATAGGAGTATAGCATCTAGATCAAGGGAAGTAATAGTGCCACTGTATTCTGCTCTGGTCAGACCTCACCTGGAGTACTGTGTCCAGTTCTGGGCACCACAGTTCAAGAAGGACACTGACAAACTGGAACGTGTCCAGAGGAGGGCAACCAAAATGGTCAAAGGCCTGGAAACGATGCCTTAGGAGGAACAGCTAAGAGAGCTGGGCATGTTTAGCCTGGAGAAGAGGAGGTTAAGGGGTGATATGATAGCCATGTTCAAATATATAAAAGGATGTCACATAGGGTAGGGAGAAAGGTTGTTTTCTGCTGCTCCAGAGAAGCGGACACGGAGCAATGGATCCAAACTACAAGAAAGAAGATTCCACCTAAACATTAGGAAGAACTTCCTGACAGTAAGAGCTGTTTGACAGTGGAATTTGCTGCCAAGGAGTGTGGTGGAGTCTCCTTCTTTGGAGGTCTTTAAGCAGAGGCTTGACAACCATATGTCAGGAGTGCTCTGATGGTGTTTCCTGCTTGGCAGGGGGTTGGACTCGATGGCCCTTGTGGTCTCTTCCAACTCTATGATTCTATGATTCTATGATTCTAAAGCCAGGAGCAAAAGCCTCCATCATATCTGTGTTATAAGGAGCAATTGTTCAGACCAGGCTGCAATCTGGAGGCATCTTACCGCCTTACTAAGGCTAAGAAGGTCAGGTTCTGGTGAATAGCTGTGTGCATGATCACCAGGGAATCCTCATGCACACTGCCTTTTGTTGAATGAAGAAAGATGGCATATAAATTAATAATAAAATAAATAAATATATGACATATATAAAAAATAAATTACATAAGTATAGTATGGATATCAAAGAAGCCTTTATAGCTGTGCTGAAATTCTCCCCATTGGACAGGTTTCTCTGCACCATAGCAGGGATGGAGAAACTGTGTCGCTCCAGGACTCACTGGGCATAATAAGTGATGAACACTGCCCAGGAGTTTCTGGTGCAGGCAGCAATAGAATCGTGGAATCGTAGAGTAATGGCTCCCTGGCCATTACTCATGCTGCCTGAGGCTGATGGCAGTTGGAGACGAACAACTTCTGGGTTCCCCACTCCTGCACTATAGGGAAGACCCTTATACTGACCCATTGCTTCATTGAGCTGGCTGGCCCTTGCCCACACTGGCTGGCAGCACATCTCCAGGGGTTCAAGCAAGGGATTTTCCCAGTTATTTCCAGAGAAGCTAGCATTTGATCCTTTTGCATGTAGAGTCATACCTTGGGTTACAGACGCTTCACGTTGCGCAATTTCGGGTTGTGCACTGCGCCGAACCTGGAAGTACCGGAACAGCTTAATTCTGGGTTTCGGCACTTGCACATGTGCAGAAGCGCTGAATCAGGACCCACGCATGTGCAGAGGGTTGCGAACGCTGCGGGTTATGAACGTGCTTCCCACACGGATCACGTTTGCAACCTGAGCGTCCACAAATATACAGATATATACTGTTGGTATGAAATAAGAAGAAACAGAGTTTACTTAATCTTTTAGTTCCTCTTGTTTATTGGAATGTTGTCATCTGTGCCTACATGTGCATTCATTAAACATTCCTAAAATAAATGCAATCTTGTTTAATATATATGGATATTTTTATGCTGAAAATTCCTTCCATGGTTCCCCACCACCACCACCATTGCCCATCAATTAACACACAAATAGAGACCGAATCTGAGAAGCATTCAAGAGGTTTTTAAAGTGAAATTCTTACGGATAGGGTTCAGGGCTTCTGTTGTGCTTACCTTATCTTTAAGGTGGTGAAAGGATTTTGTGAATGTCCTTCCTTTCATTCTACAAATCATCTGATGCAGCCTTCCCAAGTGCCCTCACTTCTTGGAATTCTTCAGATGGGCTTTCAAGTGTGGGAAGCCCATTATGGTCCTGTCAGCTGCACTCCTGATCAGTAAACACACTGATCTCAGGCACTTGGTAGACTACCTTCATGGCCCCTGTCAAAGTCCAGGGGAAGATGTCCCAATGCAACTCCTCTCATGGAGCTTTTTTAAAATCAGGAAGTGGGGGAGAAATGTTTAATGGAAAGAACACACAGCTGTGAGCCACCTCATGGTGAGAAGGTAAGCTCAGCCATGTACCCACTGAAATTATAAAGAAACAATCTCTGCATAAAAGAATTTACAGAACAATGCAAAAGTGAAGTGCTGGGTGAGATGTCACTTCTGCTTGTCAACATGCTGGTGGGGATTTCAGTGTGCCAACTCAAGCCTGGTGAAGTTAATGGGCCCCATTCTGGAGGGGACTATGGATTCAGCAGATCCAATATTTCCTCTGACACATAGTGTTCTGTTTTGGGGGCTATTGCCAGCAGAAACAACACAAGTGGTATATATTTTGGGGCTCTCAATACAGGAGTACAACAAGGTGCTGTTCCATCCTAACATCCTCCATCCAGTGAATCTGAGGGTTAGGATTTCTCTGCTAATCATTCCACTGCATTGCAATTTTCTCAGCCTCTTTCCACCAATGATCCTGCTACTGACTTTGCTTCAATTGCTTTCATTCCATGCAGCTTTAATCACAGCTTTCCAACTCAAGAGTGATCCAAGAAGGCTTGCAGTTTTATTTTGTTTGGGTGGAGAAATGCCATCTTCGAGAATGCTTGCATTAAAATTGCTGCTACCTCCCTTGTCTACTTCATTACAGCTGTAATCTCTTAAAATTCTAATTGTGATGACATTTTCTCCTCAGCACATGATTGGAAAGCAAAGGAGAGGATCACACCCACTGCACCCCTAGAAGCCAATCAGCTTGCATCCTGACACGATCTTCCTTGGGTAAGTGGGGGTTCTTCTCTTAGCACATGAGACTAGATGAAACATGGAAAGCTCCACTGTATGTTACCTCGTTCATGGTGTGGACTTGTCTGCATTAATCAAAGCGAGGGCATTGTATCTGTTCTAGGCAAATGTGGTGCCTGCCAGGTGGACTCCATCTCCCCTCAGCCTTGGCCATTGAGCCGGGGGTGGTGAGAGCTGCATTTCACCAGTACCTGATGGACTTCACGTTGGCTACCCCTAATCCAGGCTTGGGTCATTTACTTTGGTTTTTACTGGATCCTGGGATCTACTAGACATAGCCAGGTGCAAAACAGTGGCTGAAGTGGGCATCCTTTCTGTTGTGTGTTCAGGATCATATGTGCTCACGATGGTATTGAGGCAATTATGTGTGGTCCCACTTTCAGTACAGTGGATTCAGGGTGGTCTTCCTGCTTCATTTCCAATCAGAGCATATATATCCCAGAACTTTCTATAACTTTTCATGCCCCAAATGTTCTAGTCTGGGGTGTGTGTGTTGTCCCATTTTTACTGTGTTATATTGCAAAAGTGACCCTTCAAACAGCAATAACTCAACAACATTGTAGAAGTATTGCATAACAACTAATAAATCAGAATGATGTGTGGATGGTCCAGGGGATGGACCATAAATTCATGGCCATTACGTCTATGACTTGTTGCAGAATACAGCTGCAAAAGAATACCACCAGTTTTGAGGCTCTCTGAGCAGATGTACCTCTGACCATAGGCCTCTGTACCTCTGACCAGGAATAGGTGGTCGGTACGAGAACCAAGCTCACAAGCCTTTTCAAACAAATATTACTTCTGGTTCCCACCCACCTGCACCTGGTTATGCAAGACTTTGACTAGGGGTGGTTTCTCAATGTCTGAGAAATGGAAAAGGGGAGTGAAGTGCACGTTAAAAGACATTTTGTTGTGTTGTTGTTGTTTTTATTTTGATTATGTATTTTGTGGTTTTATATTCTGATTTTATTCTGTGAACCACCCTGAGACCTCCATGTATAGGGCAGTATATAATTTCAATAAATAATAAATAAATAAATACTTTTGAACTGTACCACAGGGCTGTTTGTCTGGTCATATTATTGAATGTTCCACACAAAAAAGTCTCTGAATGTGGTAAACAAACACATCTGGCAGATGATTATACTGAACCTCCCCCCCCACTCTGATGTGTTAATTTGCCATATACAGTGGTCCCTGTAGTTACGAACTTAATTCGTTCCGGAGGTCCATTCTTAACCTGAACCTGTTCTAAACTAGAGGCATGCTTTCGCTAATGGGGCCTCTTGCTGCCGCTGCACCACCGGCACACAATTTCCCTTCTCATCTTGGGGCAAAGTTCTCAACTCAAGGTAACTCTTCCAGGTTAGTGGAGTTTGTAACCTGAAGCGTTTGTAACCTGAGGCGTTTGTAACTTGAGGTACCACTGTACGGGGAGTTCTTTCTGGGTAAGTGCATTCAAAATATGACCACGGTCCAGCATTCTGCTACTTCATTCTACATAACGTGGTTGTGGTCCAAATTTGTGGCAGAATGCAATGGTAGTTGACTAGTATGCAGCATTCTGGAGCAGATTCTCCCAGGTGCTGGAGGACTACAACTCCCCCTGTCCCATGCCATTGGCAGGGCTGGTTGCAGGTGATGTGGGTTGTAGTCTAGCAATGTTTGGGGACCCAATGGGAGGAGATGCTGTTTTCAAGCAAAGACAGGGAAGTCCATTGTCAAATGCTTCCCTGCACTGAAAACATGTAGAAAACTAGCTCACTAGAGGGATGTTGAGGCAACAACTTTTCAGTGTGCTATGTCTTTGCCTGCAGGGAAATTTTAGTGGAGATTTTAATTTGATGGACATTAGGAATGTTATCACCCCACCTGGGGTCAGAAATGTACCATCTATTGGACCAGAATGTTTCATTTTCAACCCTGCAGTGATTGAGGGCAGGAATCAGAGATTCAATCTAAGGTTTTTTGGGGGGGGGCCTGTGGCACTCCAGGTGTTGCTTTAGTCCCCATCACTTGCATCCACATAGCCCAGCAACTTCTGAGAGGCCACAGGCTCTCATCTTGTGATTGTTGTAATGGAAGTACCGGTAGATAATGTTTGCAGGAGCTTTCCAATGAAAATTTGCAGTGGACCTTGGTTGGCTCTGGTTATGTATGTTGCCTTTTCAGCAAAGGCGGTGTTAAGCGGGTGAAGGATAGACCTTGTGTGTATTCCTCTCTCCTCTGCCAATTGAGTGTGGCTTGGTGTCTCCTTGTGCCATTCTGCAGGGGGCAATGGGAGTCGGAGGCTTCCTTTCTCAACAGGAACAACAAAGTGAGCCCTCTCACTGCTGAGCTGTGCAAGATGTCTCTGTTACAGTCACACACACACACACACACACACACACACAATTTTTTTGCTCCCAGCCTCTCTTTTCTTCTTCCAGCCTCTCTCTTCCCAGGACAGTCAAAGGAGACAAGAGCAGGTTGTGGTTTGTACAGTACATACCAAATCCTAGACTAAAATCTGTGAACTGTCAGCTTGATGCAGGTGGTGTGTGAGACAGCAAACATCAGAGCTGACTGGGCTTAGGCAATTTCTCAGCATGACAGCTCTCTGGAGGGAACAAAGGGATCTTTCAATGCAGAACAAAATTTAGTTCCTTAATGAAAAACATCAGGATGATTCAAGCATCCCCTCCACAGCAAGTTGGGGGCTAAGGCTGGGAAGTCATACTGGAGCACGACTCATCTGGTTTATGTTAGCAAAAGGTGCTGTGATCTCTGGCTATGTTAGAAGCAGAGAAATGTAGTTATTAGTGTTCCCAGTGGGAGCCTCTAGGAATGTCCTGCACCAAATCTCATTCCAAAAAGTATCATTGATTCTGTCCTAGGGTCAGAGGAAAGGCAATGTCCTAGTTCTGTTCCTATTGCAGTGAAGAAGAAGAAAGCAGTATGGGGACTTTGAAGGATGAACCAGCAGAAACAACTCTCACACGTGATGTATTTTAGTCCTTGCGCCATGTTCTCCCTTCCTACAGGCTAGGCAGGCTTAATATGCTTCGTGTGCAAGTATAATGGGCAGGCTACTTTATGATTTGCAGCGCACATTCTATCTGTTTGGATAGGGCTGAGAGGAGAACCACTGGCATCAGGGTAACGATGGAGGAGAAATTTGGTCCCAAACTGGTTCGTGGATCAGAACGCATCTCACATTTGGGCTACACCCTTCTCCGGATTTTGTTGTGCAGTTTTGGGGCACAGAAGTGACACACCAAAATATGTGTTGTTGTTTTAAAAATTGGTATGAACTGTGAACAAATGGGCTGAAAAGTACTGATAAATTAATATTTTTCATTAAAAGTGCACACAGCATGTACCGTTAAAATTCTTCACCAACGTGGGATGGAGTTGATGTAGGATTGACTGCAGGGCCGTCTGTACCCCGGGGGTGCAAGGGATGCAGTGCACCCGTGCGCTGAATTCCGGCGGGCGCCAAATGTATTCTGGGGGATGCCAAATGTATACCTCCTGTATACTGGTCCCTCTTGATCAGTGGCAGTGAAAAGCAATGGAGTGAAAGTCCCCACCCCCTCCTCCATCGCTCTGTTACTTCGCAGTGTCAAATATTCGAAACGAGTCAGGAAACAAAAGCAGTTATTTCCATTGCGTCATTGTTACATTGTTACAGGTGAGCGATTTTCTTTCCCCCTTCCCAAAAAAGCTCAACAACCTTGGCTTTTCCCCTCCCCCAAAAAAGCTCAACAACTTTGATTGAGTTGCCCCCCCCCACAAAAATTCTGGGGACGGCTAAACTAAATTTGGGGATGCTGGGCGGATCTTTGCACCCTGGTGGTGCATATGCTAAAGACAGCCCTGATTGACTGTAGCTGAAACTGAAATGGGACAGAATGAGACTGCTCAGTCCATCTCTGTGGTGGAACAGAGTTTCCTGTAACATATGTTGTGAACCGCCCTGAGATCTGCGGATAAAGGGCAGTATACACATTTAATAAATAAAAATATGTGGTTGGGAAACCTCAGGCCCAGCAGCCAAACGTGGCCCTCTAAGCCTCTCTGTTTGGCCCTAAGGAGTCTCCCCCACCCCACCTTATCTGAAGCCACACCTCTTCTTCCCCAGGCCACACCCCTTCCTGACCCTGCTTTGCACTTTCCTTGGGTGTTTCTACCTGGCTACAGGGCATCCTTGAACTCCGATAAACCTGAACTCTACTTGCATATCTGGATGGGGGGGGAGGGGGGAGTGTGTGTCAAGAGGCCTACTGAGAAATTTACTTTCTTGTTCCACGCACTTTTGCCTGTGACCCCACCCACCAGCACCATATACTCCCCAGAAAGATGCCCATAAAGGAATGCAGCTGTCTGCTGAAAAAAATCCCCCCTCCCAGCTCTAGCAGCAGCAGTGATAGACAAAGCCATGATTAGGAACACACTTTGGTGAACCCATTCTCCCCACTTCAAAGGTGACCACATGATCCCCTCCCTCTGCCCATTTCAGGTTGGTTCAGCTGAGCAATTATGACTGGCCCAAATTCACCCAGAGAGCTTCATTCAGAAACAACAAATTCAACGTTTTCTTGAATCATAGGTGATATACTAATAATCACACTAATGGGGGCTTTCTGACCAATCCTTCAAAGAAAATATTTTAACACCCTTCTCCCAAAACTGAGCATGCTCAATAGTCAAAGAGTGGAAACCACAAAACCAAGCAGAGGGGAGGTCTCTTGAATGCCTTAAAGGTAAAGGGACCATTAGGTCCAGTCGTGTCTGACTCTGGGTTGCGGCGCTCATCTCGCTTTATTGGCCAAGGGAGCCGGTGTATAGCTTCCAGGTCATGTGGCCAGCATGACTAAGCCGCTTCTGGCGAACCAGAGCAGCACATGGAAACACCATTTACCTTCCCGCCGGAGCGGTACCTATTTATCTACTTGCACTTTGAGTGCTTTCGAACTGCTAGGTTGGCAGGAGCAGGGACTGAGCAGTGGGAGCTCACCCCATCACGGGGATTCGAACTGCCGGTTTTCTGACCAGCAAGTCCTAGGCTCTGTGATTTAACCCATGGCGCCACCCGCGTCCCCTTGAATGCGTTAGCCTCCACTAAATTGCACTTAAGCCCAACCCAGAGTGATTCTGGAATGCCTTAGATGAGAGAAAAAACATTTGGAATTTTGGGGAAAGAATATAGACGAAATACATGGTGGCATTTTTGCAAGTGACAAGAGCTGGTCACTTATATAAATATTTGCATAACTTAATGTAACTTACGTTAAATAGCAGACAGCGAGACAAAGAGTGTAGCATCTGGCAGAAACTGAATGGCAACAGAATGGAAACAGCACCAATTAGGATTAATACAGGTTGGAATGGAAATTGCTCCCTTTCTGCAATATTCTTCATTCCCAAAATGAAGAGGGAATGTGTACAACTTGCCACATTAATTGCATGTAGAACTAGTCATTCTCCAGTATGGCTATAAAAGAGAAAAGTACAGACCAGTAGGCAGGGCAGTCTTAAGCATATCTGGTGCTGTGGTGCAAAGATCCCTATGGCCCCCCCATTCCCCAGGGTTGTCGACCTTTTTTAAGGGGGGGGGGACCCAAAAGTTGTTGACCTTTTTTTTAGGGAGCTGACACCACGCTTACACATTATATCTAACAACCCCTTAGAACAAATGAAAATAAAATGAAATAAAATGAAAAGGCAGAAGAAAATCTAATGAAGTCCTCCATTCCAAAGCAAGACTCATTCAAGACTCAGCAGTTCTTCTAATTCATCCTCATGATTCAAATCACCACATATCAAAAAGTTAAAGCAATCACCAGTTTGTTGTTCTTTAAATAAATTAATAAAGGCACAGAGAATGAAGTTCCCGGCCAATTGGTGTTTAAGTACGAAGCTGACATTTTCAAATATTGTGGGGGGTGGGAGTGGGGGTAAAGCAGTGACATCCTGAACCTAAAAAGGACCCAAAACTTGGGTCACAAAGGCTGCAGCCCTAACTGCACTTACCTGAGAGTAAGCCCTGCTGAATCTAATAGGGCCTTACTTCTGAGTAGACAGTAGCAAGACTGCAGCAAGAAACACAGTTGGGAATTAGGGCTGTTTTAAGTCTCAGCCAGAGGAAAATATAATATTGGAGATTAGGGAGAAAGAAATATGAATAGATTGGGGGGAGGGGGCTGACGAGAGACCAAAAACCACAGGTAGCAAGATAAGGCACACTTTCTGGGGAGCAAGTCTCACACACAGTTGCTTGGGGCGAGGACTGCAGAGGGACCATAGTTGTGCGTGTGTGTGTTTTTCAGAAAAACGTAAAATTGGAAGGGACCCTGCAGGTCATCTAGCCCAACTCGCTGCAATGCTTTTTAGCTTGCATTGATCTCAGAAACCTTCAGTGCCTTTTTTTTAGTTGGATAGGCAATTAACAGGCTTGTTTCACAAATAAGGGAGAAGGAGGGTTGCTGGCTTGGTTTGGTTTGCTTTTGTTCTAGTTTCTAGCATGTGCTTAATACCGTAGTTTCAGGCTGTGAGCCACCCTGATATCTATGGGGGAGGGCAGTAGTAGTAGTAATGGTGATGATATTTTTCGCAGGGCTTGCAGTGAGTGGGTGATGGCCAGCTGCTGGAATGAATGGGGTTGGTGCTAAATGGTCTGGCTTGCTTTACAACCCCTGGGGACCCTGTTGGGAGGGCGGAGAAGGAGCCCACCCCCCAGGAAGAAGAAGAAGAAGAAGAAGAAGAAGAAGAAAGAAGAAGAAGAAGAAGAAGAAGAGGAGCAGAAATGGGAGGAGGCTTCCTTCCCGGGATAGAGTTGCCTGTAACATTAAACACAGGGCACGAATCCAGGAGAGAAAGAAACCAGGGCAGCAGCTGCTGCTACTCATGGCTGGGGCTCAATGTAGCTGAACAGGACGGGCAAGGGGACCCTGCAAGTAGGGCTGCAAACCCAGCTAGGAGGCTCCATAGCCAGAGGAAGAAAGGGGGCGAGTGGGGGGGCCCCTCTCTTCTTCTTCTTCTTCTTCTTCTTCTCCTCCTCCTCCTCCTCCTCCTTCTCCTTCTCCTTCTCCTCCTCCTCCTCCTCCTCCTCCTTCTCCTTCTTCTTCTCCTTCCTTCCTTCCTTCCTTCCTCCTCCTCGCACTCCGCTTCCCCCTCACAAATCACCCGCCCCCCTCTTCCCACAGGGCAGGCAGGAGAGAGAGAGAGAGAGAGAGAGAGCGCTGCAGGCCAGCCAGCCATATACCGGTAGTTGCTGGGGTGCAGCTTCCATCCTAAGCCCCTGCAGGGATCGTTCTCCTCCTGCGGAGGATTGGGAGGCAAGCTGCACACCAGCCAGCCATATGGTTGCGAGGCGCAGCTGGCGGGTGCAAGGAAAGGGGAGTCGGCCGGCAAAGCCGCGCAGCTCCCCCACTTTCTGGGGTGTCCCTGAGAGGCCGGCACCCTGGCGCAAGGCGTCAGTAAGCCCAATAGGAAAGACGCCTCTGCCAGTAGGTTCTTTCAAGAGATTACATCAGTAGTCCTAATATGGTTGGAGATGGTGCTCTGATGGGATTGTTTTGAATGAAAATGACGTAACTCTACTGACGAGTGAGCCAATCGTGATAGGGTTGGATTTAGCCAGGACGCTCACAGAACAGCTTTATAGAGGAGCACCTCTTGATCTGCTGGTGTTCTCATGGATATATCCTTCCCATCATTTTTCATGCCCATGACACATTCTGCAGCTATAATCAGCATGATGGAGTGTGTTTGATGCGCAGACGCCATAGGGAAGAGGACTAATGATCGCCAATCATCTTAGCACTTCATCATCAGAACATTAACAGATAGTGGGTTCCTGGGATTGTCATTCAGCCGGTGTGTGTTTGCCAATTCCAGGTCAAGCCATCCTTTTGCCATCCCATCCCATAACTCAGACATGACTGGCAGTGAGGTGAGCTGGTGGAAAGGGATGCTTGAGGAATTCATTCTTGGTAAAACTTGAAAACTGACTTGTTGCAGCTCCCAGAATGATGCATGGAACAAAATGTAGTTTTCTGCATTCTGGAAATGTTGCAAAATGGCTCAAAATGTGTATAAAACATCATTTTGGTATATGGTTATGGAATGGAATAGAATTATGAATGCATGCATGTGAAACTGACATACTGTTGGTCAGAAACAGACTGATCCATCTATAGGTGGATTGTTGCAATCTGCATGTTTGTGGTCAGAAATGGAAATCAGTCAAGCAAATAGGAGTAGTATTTGTTCAATAGCTCTTGTTGTTTTGAAGTCCATGAACAATATGTAATTAATATTGGCGGTTTGGTGTTTTTTTTACTAGCTTTGAGGTTTCCTTTACATTGAAATGAAAGCAAGTTACATAAATAGTTGTGCAGCTTAAGGTACATTGAATAGTGGGCAATGAGACAAACAGTGTAGCATTTGGCAGAAACAGAACTGCAGAAGAATGGAAAAAGCACTAATTGCAATTAATACAGGTTGAAGTGGAAATTGCTCCCTTCCTGAGCTGCAAAGTTTTGAGAGGGTCACCTGTCTGATTTCCTAAAGACAATATTTCCACTGTTCCGTTCCTTTTTCTTTCATGGGTTTGCACTTGAATGCTGGTTTATTTTGCTGGTGGCTATTAGAAACAGAATGCCGGACAGGGCTCTCCATATGTCTTTTCTGAGTTACTCCTCCCTCACTGACCACTTTGCTTTGGAGGGGTGGACAGAAGCCCATAAGTAATGTTCTTCCTGGCTCAGCTCAGTCTGGACCTGCTCTCCTTTCTTCACTAAAGCTGCTTACATGAGGTTTAGGTACTTGCTGCCATTAACCTTAAAGGCCAGGATTCTCAGCATGGCTATGCACCAGATGAGGCTGAACTTTGAGCCAAATGGGGCATATTGAGATGGACACAGGTATAGGCCGCCATAGACTGCTGAAGCAGGGCTTGCCATTTTAAGGGGTGTGTGAAACTTAATTTTTGCTGAAGGCTGAGTTGGATGGCTCAGAACAAGCCACTGGGCATGAAGGAGAGACTGGCATGGGGCAGGATACCCTGTGAAAAGGCCCAAACCTACCCTGACCACTGGCTATGTCTTCCCAAGAGAAAGGATGAGCTTGCAGCTTGACTCCTCTTCCTGCCTAGGTCCATCCCTCTAGCAGTGCTCCTGCCTAGCGATGCCAGAATCCACTGGCTGTTGTCAAAGAAATTTCACGTGGCAGACTATGCATAAAAGTATATTGGATTCTGCATTTTGGCCAATGACTCTCTGATTCTCATGGTGTCAGAGACCACTCTCTCAGGTGTCTGAATATGATGGATCTATGCAGTTTTGTTTTATTTCCGCAGCTCTGTGAAAACATCGGACAGTGGTATTTCTGCCGGGGGTGGGGCTCATATATATCCCCAAAATGGGGCATTTCATGGGCAGAGAGATAGTTGGGAGGGAATCAAACTTGGCTAACCAAAGATCCAAAAAACAGAATGGGGAGGAATTGGAGGGAGGGAGGAAGCAAGTGTAAAGGGGAGAGAGCAATGACATTTCCATGCTCTCAGCAGGGTAGGCTCATATTTGGAAAGCGCTCTCTCCCCTCTCCTCTCCTGCCAGGTGCGGCAGACTTTGAAAATGCCTTCACTCACACACACAGCCCCCCATGCCCCCCCAGGTCTTCCCCTCTGCAAAGGGGCAGAAGATGGGGAGCCAAGCTACTCTGAAAGGGCCCTGGGCAAAACTGCAGCCAGGCCAGGCAAAAAACGGCAAGTTAGCTGCAGGCCCATTGCTCCTTTAAGAGCAGCTTAAATTGGGACGCCTCCTAGCAAAGGGGAAAAACATGACAGCTTAATTGGTGGTCCTGGAAATTCAGGGCAGTTGGAGAGTATAAGATCAGTGCTTTTTAAAAAAAAAAAAAGTTTAGGGGTACTCTCATTTTCCTACTCATATTGAAATACTGTCCCTCAATGAGGCCAAACTTAGATGCACAAAATGTTTAGGGGTATGCGTCCTCCTGCATCCCCCCAGAAAAAAAGCACAGTTTGTAATACACATCATTTACACATTCATTGACATGTAATGACTGGTGTCCTAAACAGGAGCCTCTTCCCTTTTCTTTATTCCGAAGTATCCTTCATTGTTTCTGAGTGCATATAACTTGTCAGTTGGGAGCAGAAGTCTATATGCAAAACAGCTAATGAATTGAGTGGGATTTGCTTCTGAGTAGGCCTGAAGATTGCAGCCAGAAATGGCTTTGTAAGGCACCATTAGACACTTTAACTTTGCCTTTAAGGTTCCTGGAGTCTCTTTGTTGTTTGTGCTGCAAAAGACTAACAGAGCTGCCCCTCTGGAATTTCATTAACATTGAAAGGGAGCACACAGGGAAGGTAATTGATTTGTAAATATCTGTGGATGGAGGAGATATGCATGTCTGTTGGGTGCTACAATTGTGCAAAATAAAGCAATTACACTGGGAGGGAAAATACCAGTGAATGGAGGTTGTAATTTTGCAAGGATCCTGAGCGTTAGCTGTTAGCATTCCCAAGCCCAGCGCCCTCACAGAACTAGAATTCTCAAGATTCCCTGGTGAGAAAGAACTCCTTTTAAAGCAGCCTGGTCTGTATGGGAGACATGCCTTCCACTGCTGAAATGAAGGAAAAGATCAAATGGAGAAAGGAAAGGAGGAAAAGAGAGATGAAGAACTCTATTTGCCCCCTCAAGGGAGAGAGGAAGGGCTAATTTATAGAAACATGTCTATCCAGGAATGGACTGTCACTGAATAGGTCAGCACTCTGCTGGAGAGCACATAAGAGAAGTGGTCAGGTGCAGAGAACAGCACTTCTGCCAATAACTTCATTTTCTGAGCGCTCTGCTCAGAGATAAATGAGAGAGACAACTCCTGGCCTTATCAGAGGCAGGGCACAGACCAAGTTACCACCTTAAGGTGGAGTTTGAAGACTTAGCTTTTTGCTTTGTTGGCGGGGGGGGCGGGGCGGGGGGGCGGAATGTGAACAGTGGGAGATTTTTATTTATTTTATAAGTTTCGCCCCCATAACAATATAGCAGAAGTTTAGAAGTCATTTCCATATTATTTGCTACTTGCACAGTGTTCCACTATAGTTCTAGAAGTGTCTGTTACATCGTGTGAAATCTCAAATATAACATGAAAATTAACAGTTAGGGAAATGTCATTAAAATGGAATTAACTGCCCTGTGGATACAACCATTATTTATTCATTTACTAATTACTCTCCACAAGGCATCCTGAATTGCCCTACAATATGCTCACCTATATAAAAACTGTTGAAACAACTGTTCACACACACATGTGATATTGAACCTGGGACTTTTGCACCGGGATGTCAAGTGTGGGGTTAGAGCCCTACTCTTTCCAACCATGTGATTGTAATTGTTGCAGTCGCAATGCCTGAAGGGGTCTTGGGTGCCCCCCAAGGGAAGAGTTTTTATAACTAAGACTGAAAACAATCCATTTCCTCCATCTCTTCTATCAATTGGGCAATAAACTTCCATCTCGGGAAGGGGAAGGTTGTTACCTTGTTCACTGTTCAGCCCAGTGTGTCAGTTTAATGTTAAACAGGGGGAAGAGCTGGCATAGAAAGGAGCGCAAGAGGAGCCCCATGGCCGCTGATTTGTTTTGGCTTAGGCTCTGATTCTTTATGGCTAATTACTCCCTGACACTCATAACAAGTGGGGGAGGGTGGGGTTTTTTTACCCCCTCCCCTTTTCTTTTAATTACCTCCTGTGAATTATTCAGGGTGATATGACTCTTGGAAGGAAAAATGAAAAGCAACCTGAGATAATTACTCCTACAGGGCTGTTTCCGGTTTTCTCTAAATAAGGAGATGCACATTGAATAGGGAGAGAATCCTTGTTAGTGCAAGAAGAGCAGGTGTGTGGTCGAAATCTGCTTGTCCCCCGGGATATTTATGCAGCCTTCAGCACAGGCTGGAGCTGATGGGATTTCTAGTCCAAACATCTGGAGGGTATCGGTTTGGTGAAGGCTACCTTAAGGGATCTTGCAGATCCGACAGAGGTGTACACAGTTATGACTGGTGTAGTTGAAGAAGTGGTTGGAGAGACTTTTCTTCCTCCCTCTCTCTTAATACGAGGATGAGGATGATGTGAAATATTTTTTTGATTCAGTTCACATCTAAAGGTGAATCACCCAAATTCACAGCGAGTGGATGAACAGAAACTCAGCCATGTCATTTAGCAATTCAGTTCTCCAGCCATGTCATTTAGCAATTCAGTTCTCCAGCCAAGAGATCTTTGCAAAAATGCATGTGCTGAGGTAAAGCATGCACTAACATGTGTGTGTTGGTAAAAAATAACATAAAAATGCACTTTATTAGAGGAAAATGCTTTGCAAGAATGCCCATATTAAGCAACATCAAATTTAAAAAATGTGTGTGAGAGAAATTTGCACCCAAATACTGATGAATTTTCATGAGGATTTTTTAAAATGCAAACTGATGTGGAAATGTGGAGAACTCAATTTGAGATTGAAAATAATGAGATGCTGAGAGAAAACAAAACTGCCAGATTCCTAAAATTCAGGATCACCTAGGGAAGCTGCCTGTTGATTCAGGACACAGGAAAGAAAGTCCTTCTTCACACAGCACCATGACGGAAACCAGAGCGCATGGAAACGCCATTTACCTTCCCGCCACAGTGGTACCTATTTATCTACTTGCACTGGTGTGCTTTCAAACTGGTAGGCTGGCAGGAGCTGGGACAGAGCAGTGGGAGCTCACTCCATTGCGGGGATTCGAACCGCCAATCTTCCGATCAGCAAGCCCAAGATGCTCAGTGGTTTAGACCACAGCACCATCCACATCCCGACTAAAGTCTGCAACTCCCTCACACAGGAGGCAGGGATGGCCACCAACCTAGAGGACTTTTAGAGGATTGGACCAATTCATGGAGGAGAGGATTATTGCTGGCCACCAGCCACAATGGCTGCCCGAAGCAGAATGCCTCTGAATACCGGTTTGTGGAAATCACAAATGTGGCATTCAGGTCCCCCTGGTGGGCTTCCTACAAGCATCTGGTAGGCCACTGTGAGAACAGGATGCTGGACTAGATGGGCCTCAGGACTTGTCTTATGTTTCTCACAGTAGCAGCTTATCCGAATGGCTCTCAGATATGGTGATGTCAGCAGTGTCTGGTATGAACATCTCAGCAGTTTGGAGCTCATTAGCAGATCATGTCTCCTGTTCTGCCACAGTAAAGGTGTGTCTATATTATTCCGCACAGCAGGTTTTCCCTGGTGCAGATACCTGTATGAATTATGTATTGGTTTTATTTACTGCTTTTTATGTCCCAGTTTTCCTCATAACGTAACTCCTGAGAGCTCCTGTTCCCATACAAACACATAAAATATTCTCCCTACAGGTACAAACACAAACACACTGCCTTCCAAGACTTAACAGATGGGAAATAGGGGTCAGTGGTAACACCCCAGTTCTCATGCTCAGGATCATTTCGGGAGCCTCACCTCCTCCACCAGGACCCATTTGTCCTCCTCATCCATTCCCCTCTGTTCATCACTCCATGGGTGGAGAGCAGAGGAGGACTGTTCTTGGGGGAAGAGCTGCAGCTTAATGGTGAAGCATCTGCCTTGGCTGCAGAAGAACTCAGGTCCAATCCTTATTAGTTAAATCCTCTTTCTGAAACCCCAGAGAGCCACTGCCCATTGGTGAAACTGAAATCCAGACATCACCACAATTAGCACTATTAAATATATGAGATGGCACTCTGTAACTATTATCTTTGAAGGAACTGCTAACTTGGTTTGTAGTAGCTGCCAGGATTTCTATTGCACAAAAATGGAAGAACTTTAATTATCTGTCTCTTGAGTGCTGGTATAAGAAATGGAACCTCACAATTGCTGAAAAGATAGACCACAAGATTCATACAATGAAAGACATAAAACTAGCAGAACAAATTCATGCAATCTGATGTCACTGAAACACAGTTGTCATTCAAAATTCACCCTCCTTCAAATTTTGCAATGGAGTTCTCCAACCCAAAAACGTGTACAAAAATGTAATTTTATGGGAAAGTGTGCATGCAAATTCATCTGTTGGTGAAAATAAGCAGGAAAAAATGCATTCATTTTATTATTGATTTATTAACAAAGAAGTGCAAGCATAACACACCAAAACAAAGAGTCAAAATACAAAAGTTCCCTTTAAAAATAATAAACTATTAAAACTAAAAGTATTCTCTACCTGTAACTTCCATTATTCTTGAGAATATAGATTCTATATAGTCTTAAATGAGCCAGATATTTGCATATTCCAATAGTGGTGAGTGACCATGCAAAAACACATTATATTAGGGGGCATTGCTTGGGAAAACATTGAGCCAAGTTGCAGCCACAAATGTATTAGAAATGCACTCTAAACTGCCAATGAATTTTCGTGAAAATGCACAGCTCTTTTTTTAACTCATACAGATGTGGAAATGTGGTAAACTGCATTTAATAATGGGAAAACGAGAAACTGGGAGAAGAAGAAACTGGCAGATTTGCTCATCACAGTTTGCACCTACAGATGTGAGGGCAATATACTTTTAATGTGTGGTGGCAGCCGCAGGGTATGTGACTGTGTGGCAAAGATCTGTTGGCAAACATGTGTCCTGTTCCAGCAATTTCATCAGCTACTGTGACTCCTCACAGAGCAAATTACTTGGTAGCAAATTTGCTGCTGCATAATCTTTGCATCCATCCTAAGATACATCCCAGCAGGATGTGTAACAGTAAATTTGCTCACCTTGCTGAGGGTCTCTGACCTTTGTTTTGCAGATAGCCTCCTTTCTAGTTACAGATCTTCTACCTTTGCATCGCAGGGACTCCCAGACTTTTTAGCTCAGGGAATCCAGCAATGGAGCTGGGCTTTGTTCTGGAATGAAGCTTTCAGTTTGAATTTCAAATTTGCATGGGAAACCTGCCATCTATTTGACTTTAAAAATTGTGAGCAAAGCTGTTGCTTGACTTCTGGGAAGAGTTTCATCCTCTTCAGCCTTTTACAAATGGAAGGAAGGGCCACCAGAGAGGGCTAGGGTGGCGTAGTGGTTCGAGTGTCAGAGTAGGACCTGCGAGAGAAAGCAGGGTTCAAATCCTCACTTCAGTCATGAAATTCACCTTGGGCCAGTCACTGCCTCTGTCAGCCTAACCTACCTCACAGGGTTGTTGTGAGGACAAAATGGAGAAGCGGCTGCCCACTTGTCAATCACCTGACTGCACAATGACATTGAGTTGTGGGGTGCTTTGCGGTCCCCACAATCACCAGAACCTCAAAACACCACACGGGGCTTGCAAGGAGTCCTGGATGGTGCTCTGGAGTGCCGCTGATTAGCTGGTTGCTGACACTCCGAAGTGCAGAGCAGGACTCTTTGCAAGGAGCAGGGGTCCTGTGGAGACCTCTGCTTGGCTCTTTGCAAGTCCTGCCAGGGATCAGCTGGCTGTGGAGTCCCCTGTGGAACTGTCAGCTGATCTGCACAAACTCTCAGATCCTTTTTCTGCTGGGATCAGCTGTGCTTTGGAGTTCCCCATGGCAAACTCAGTACATTGTGCAACCAATTCCAGCTGGCTGAGGCTCACCATCAGTCAGCTGATTGGCAGTGCCAGCCTGCCACTCTTGCCAGTGCACAACCAGGAGGGTGCTTCAAGGCTCTTGTTCGGAGTATTGGCAGCCACTTCTTCAATCTCACATGCTTTAAGTGAAATGGCTTTCTGATTCACATTGGAACCTGTTCTGGGCCAAACCTAGCCTGTGGGCCAGAGGGTCCCGTCCCCCCCGAGCTGCACAGTAGAGCCACAAATCACATGTGATTTACTTGCACGACTGCAGCTTTGTGCGGGTGGCAGGTGAACAAGCAAAGAAATGAATAGAGTACAGTTGGAAGGGGAGACCTGGAAAGGCCCACATGGATCCAGGAAGTGGTAGTGGGGCCCCTACTGGTTTGTGGGCCTTGGCATTATCCCAGTGATGCAAGCCCTTGTCCTGGCACTTCTCCTACACCAGCAGCATGAAACAAAAATATCTATGATGCCTTAATCTCCTATGCCAGGTGTCAGCAAACCTTTTCAGCAGGGGTCCAGTCCACTGTCCCTCAGACCTTGTGAGGGGCTGGACTATATTTTGAAAAAAAATAATGAACAAATTCCTATGCCCCACAAATAACTCAGAGGTGCATTTTGAATAAAAGCACACATTCTACTCATGTAAAAACACGTTGATTCCCGAACTGTCCGCTGGGCCAGATTTAGAAGGCGATTGGGCCGGATCTGGCCCCCAGGCCTTAGTTTGCCTTCCCACGTCCTATGCAAACAGAGCGAACCCAAACGTGGGATAAGGACTCGGCCGTGCTGTTTTGCCATTGACATCTGTTCATGCTGCTCCTTGCACAGCTTCCCTCGTGCCAGTGAGCAGGGCAAAGGCTGCATCTGCTTTTTTATGAATTAATCAAAAACAATAGTGTTGGCTCAAGCATTTGCTTTAAAGAGGATTTTGCAAGCGTACGCGTTAGTGTGATTTCTTATCGTGGCTTCTCTTTGTGTGTGCGCCTGCCAATGGGAGCCCCTCCAGCTCCCAGCCACATCCTGAGGAGACGGGCTGAGTGCTCTTTTAATCTCCAAATAAAACAAACAGGAACAAAGAAGACAATAATATTGACTTTCATCATTGATATTCCCATTTATCTCGGCAATAATTAGTAATTCTAGCACCGGAAAGGCATTGCTCATAATCTCATTGTTTCCAAGGGAGCTTGTGTTAATGTCATTGCAGACAATGCTGGCATGGAAAGCTTTCCATGAGCTGAGCCACTGGAAGGAATGGGACCTCTTGCGAGGAAAGGATCACTGTATCCATGGGGGAGAACAAGTTTTGCATGTAAAAGGTCCCACGTTCAGTCCCTGGAATCTTCAGGTGGAGCAGGAAGGAATTCCACCGGAAACCCTGGAGAGCCCCTGTGAGTCGATGTCAGCCATGTCTCTTGCAGAAGAAGAAGAGAGTCCTCCGAAACCCTCAAATTGGTTGGAAGACTCGTAGCAAGTGAATCCGCCCCCCAGCCCCCAATCACACCATTAAACTTGGGTACCTTCCCAGTCTATGCAAGATAGTTTTCCGGCACACAAAGTGCCAGGCATTATCAATTCCACAGGAACCGCTCTCACGGCAGCCGCAGGGACCAGCAGAGAAGCAAATGCAAATTCGGGGCAGTGTTTTTATTAGGATTTAAATGAGTTTAGGGCTGTTTAGAATTACAATACGATCTGAGTCAGGAGAGGCTTATAAAATCAGCACCAGTTCATATATTATACAATAAACGTGCCAAAACCCATGACTCCGAGCTCAGTGCATTTCTGTTGAGAGAAGGGGGAGGGGTGAATTTGGAGATGCAAAAATGCAAATGCCGAATTCAAAACCAAGCAGGGGGAAAAAAGGTGTGGGGGAAGGAGGGGCGGCTGTTTATTCGTTTCCCCTGGGACTGAGAAAGGAACTGTTGAGTGAAACTAATATTGAGAGACCAATACTAGAGGCTTTAAACAATCTCCTCTCTAGAGCACTGGCAGATCCCTGTACAAATGGCTTGAAGAAACACGCCGCCCTGCTGCACCTGCTGCGCCCTCAGCTCCGTCCGCGCTCACAACCCTTTGCTTCCCCTCCCCTCCCCCTTGTTTCCTTGGCAGAGTTTTGACCTGTGCATCTCTCTGATGGGGAGGCGAATGTGTGAGCTCCACAAGAGCTCCAAGCTGGAATGAGGAGGTCATTCAGGGGCCCAGCCCGGCCCCTGAATGACTCCGGCCAGGGGGGAAGCAGCAGTCTACTATACCCCCCCCCCAAAAAAAAACCCTAGTCTGCTCGGCAGCCTCCTTGCTAGTCTGCTGCTTAGGGGTAGAGCGGAGGAGGCTTCCCTGTCACCAGGGCTGAAAGAGTTTAGTTTAGGTCACACAGTGAGTTTTGTCACTGAGTAGGGATTTGTCTCCGAGGTGAGGACAGATAAAAGAAAGGACTCTTTCATGCAGCAGATAGCTGAACAGCCCGTGTAGGTTGGTGGCCTTCACTGCCTCCTGTGGCAGGGAGTTCCATAGTTTAACTCTGTGCTGCATGAAGGACTTTCTTTTATCCATCCTGAATCTTCCAATATTCAGCATCATCAGGTGCCCATGGGTCCTAGTGTTATGAGAGAGAGAGAGAGAGAGAGAGAGAGACTGAGACTTTGTTCTATCCACTTTCTGCACACCATGAATCATTTTATAAACTTAGAATCATAGACTTCTATAATAGGAAGGTTTGAAAGGACTCCAAGGGTCATCTAGTCCAACCACCCGCAATGCAGAAATCTCAACTAAAACACCCATGACAGACGGCCACCCAACCTCTGCTTAAAAACCTCCAACTTCTATCATGTTGCCTTTTCCCTAAACCGAAAAGTCCCCAAAGGTTTCAGCCTTTCCTCATAGGGGATGGTTTGGTGTCCCTTTTCTGAACCTTTTCCAAATTCTACAATATCCTTTTTGAAGTGAGGCACCCAGAACTGTACACTATATTCCAAGTGTGATGACACCATCAATTTCTTTAACGCTGTGATGATACTGGCAGTCAGTTCCCAGGGTTGCCTCACAGCCTCTCCTGAGTCCCTGACCTGCTGCCGCAAATGTGGTAGTGAGGACGCTGCCCTTTTCAATACTGGGGCTGAAGGTGGCTTCTGACAGGGGTGGGGGGAGTCCCAGCTTGTCCTTCTCCTCCTCCAGTGGCAAAATGTCTTGAGTTGTGTTGCAGGATTCCTACCTGGGCACCACAGAAGCATCACTAATTAGATCTGAGTTTCCCAGCTTTGAGCACAATCTCTTGGTGTGATTTGGGCAGGCTGGTTGAGACATTCAAAGCCACCAAGAGGATTGAGACATGCTGTCGCTCTCCATTTCAGCAGGGACTGCATGCCCACATCATTTCCCCCCAGTCCCTCGGAGGCTTTGAAAATCACAAGCACTTAACTGAAACCAGATGAAGTCCACCTGCGGATAGACAATAATAACAGCCCCCACCCAGGGATGAGGCATTGATTAGAGAAGGCTTATGGGGGAGCAGGCAAGATTTGCTGGGAGAAGGGAAGATGCACATCAAACACACAACAAAGCCACATCAAAGAGTCCCGAGAGCCAGCAGCCAATGAAAAGCTTTTAACTCAAAGCCCCAGAGCAAAGAAAAATATACGCAAGGGGATCATTTACATGCTTTGCCAGGCTTTCATAGCAAATGGTGTCAATTTGAAATGGGGGGGGGGGCTTTACCCAACACCTTATTGCAGCCACTTAGGAGTTCAGGGGTAAATCGAGAAAGTGTTGTGCATTTTGGCATTCTTTAGTGTTGTTTACTGCTTCCCTTGGGACACGGGTGGCGCTGTGGGTTAAACCACAGAGCCTAGGACTTGCCGATCAGAAGGTCGGCGGTTTGAATCCCCGCAACGGGGTGAGCTCCCATTGTTCGGTCCCTGCTCCTGCCAACCTAGCAGTTCGAAAGCACATCAAAATGCAAGTAGATAAATAGGTACCGCTCCGGCGGGAAGGTAAACGGTGTTTCTGTGCGCTGCTCTGGTTTGCCAGAAGTGGCTTAGTCATGCTAGCCACATGACCCGGAAGCTGTACGCCGGCCAGTAAAGCGATATGAGCGCTGCAACCCTAGAGTCGGTCACAACTGGACCTAATGGTCAGGGGTCCCTTTACCTTTTACTGCTTCCCTTGCTGTCTGCAGAAGGGTTTCTGGACACCGTTGCCAAGATCACACCATTGCATAGTGTGGCAGCTACATCTGAAGTCCTGCTTGGAGTATAGAGTTCCTCAACTCAGGCATCGGGTGTGGAATTTTTAACCATGGCCCTACTGAAACCCAGAGCTAGAGCAGGAGTTCTCCAGGCATTGACAAAAAAATTCAAGTTCAGGCTGTGGGTTGATTCTCAGACTCTGGCCACCCACAAGCGCAGGCATGAGATGTGGATTCTCCAGCCATGGCTGTACAGAAATTCAGACCTGGAGAGCAAGTTTTCCAACCTACCATACTTGATGTCAAAGAGTCATTCTGCCGCTGAGTTTAAAGCTTGATGATCAAATGTTTGGCAGAAGGGAGGCTTAAAACTGGGGTCTGTTCAGTGGTGACAGGGTGGGGAGGGTGATATGCCTGGCAGCTGGCAGAGCTGCCATTTATTTTTTACAGCAAATCTGTATGGTAGATCCACAGGAAGGGGGAGTGTTCTCACGCTCAGGTCCTCCTTGTGGGTTTCCTACATGCACCTGGTTGTTCACTTTGAGAAGACGACTAGATGGGTCCTTATGTTCCTATGTTCTTGAGGAGAAATGGGAAATCCTTTCCCACCTTGTTAGGTTAAGGTAAGCAGCAACACACACACACACAAAATCAGAGACATTTCTTCTTCTCTCCACCCTCCAACCACCCATGGATATTCAGAAGGGCATTTGTTTCAAACCCAGCCAGTGAGTGGTCAAAAAGAAACTGTGGTTTGTGGGACCACCTGCTTAAATGCTAGCTGAATAGATTTTAGCACAAACCCACCCAGCAGCAAGAGCAGGGGGAATACCAGAACTTAGTGACTCTAAGCTTATCCATGGTCAGTTCTGCATTCAAGACCCATATCAAGAAGAAGAAGGTACAAATAATAATGGAGGGGTGGTCTCTTGTGGGGGTAGGGGTGGGGCAGGAATTAGCTGCTAATACACCAAATGACTTCTCTTCGTCTCCTGTCAGCTGCCTAACAGAGCGGCAGGGCCCAGGAGCTGGAGGATTGCAGAGCAAATTCACATTCCTAATGAAGGAGCTTTGATCTGTATCTGTGGCTCTGATTGGCTGTAATGGGCCCCTGGATAGCATGGAGACAGCAGGAGGTACTTCAGTCCCTATTCATGTGTCAGGAGAAAAGGAGTGGGGAGTGACTGGAGGTTGTTTTTTTTGGGGGGGGGGTTAAAATCCAGAATAAAAAGGCTAACGCACAGCAAGAGGATGACTAAGGACAATGCCAGTTCAAACTGGCTTTTTAGTCACCATTTTCCTCTGAAATGTGCTGTACTATTTACCAAAACTTACAAGAAAAATGAAATAAAAATAATAATGACAGTTTTGCTTGAGGGGGGAGCATTCAATGGAATCATAAAAGTTGGAAGGGACCCCATGGTTCACCTAGTCCAGCCCCCTGCAATGCAGTAATCATTTTGCTATTTGGGGCCCAATTCTCCAACCTGTTAAGATAATTTTGATGAGCTGCACCCAAGAGTACTAAAGGAACTTGCTAATGTAATCTCAGAGCCTCTGTTTATAATCTTTGAGAATTCATAGAGAACAGGTGAAGTCCCAGAGGACTGGAGGTGGGCAAATGTTGTCCTCATCTTCAAAAAGAAGACCCAGGTAACTTACCAACTGGTGAGCTTGATGTCAATACTAGGGAAGGTCCTAGAACAGATCATTCAGCAGTCAGAAAAGGATGCTGAGAGTACCAAGAATGGGTTTCTTAAAAACAAGTCATGCCAAACAAATCTATTTTCTTTCTTTTTTATAAAACAAGCTTGGTAGATATGGGGAATGCTGTGGATGCAGTGTATCTTGATTTTAGTAAGGAGTTTGACAAATTCCCTTTTGATGTTCTTGCAAGGAGGCTGGTAAAATGTGGGCTGAATGAGGTAAATGTTAGGTGGATTTGTAGCTGATTGACTGACCAGTCTCAAAGAGTTGTCACAAATGGTTCCTTGTTATTCTGGAAAAATGTGACAAGTGGGGTGCCACATGGTTTTGTCCTGGGCCTGTTGTTCTTCCACACTAGGATGAAGGAACTGAAGGGATGCTCATCAGATATGCAGATGACACCAAACTGGGAGGGGTAGCTAATGCCGCAGAAGAAAGAATCATAATTCAAAATGACAACAGATTGGAGAACTGGGCACAAGCTAACAAAATGAATTTCAGTAGGGGAAAATGAAGGCTTCTGCACTTAGATGGGAATAGCCAGATGCACAAATATAGGATGGGGAACACCTGGCTTACAAGCAGTATATGTGAAAATGATCTAGGGGTCTTGGTGGACCACAAGCTTAACATGAATCAACATTGTGATGCAGCAGCAAAAAAGCTATCACTATTCTAGCTTGCATCCACAGTAGCGTCCAGATCAAGAGAAGTAATATTCCCACTCTATTCTGCCTTGGTCAGACCACACCTGGACTATATGTCCACTTCTGGGTACCAGCATCCAAATTACACTGAAAATCATGGGAATCATTGTGTTCAGTTTGGTGACAATATCTTGTGAGGTATTTGAATGTATAGTGAACAGATAGACAAACAGGTGGACAAACCAACCAACTATTTCTCCAGTTATATATTAGATTCTTTCATTATTTGTGCTCATGATGGTATTGGGGTAGTTCTATGTGATCCCACGTTCAACACTCTTTGCACTGGCAGACATTTTTAGCAGTCATACCACTTTGTTTCCAGTCAATGAAGGCCCACTGTTTCCTGCTGAAATCCTTTAACTCTTCATACCACAAATATTTTGAGTCCATTAGTTTGTTGTCTAGCTTTCGTTGTTCAGTAGCAGGAGCCTGCATCTTGGTCTGTTAAAAATGCATCACAGAACAATAGTAAATTGGAATGATATGTAGACAGTCCAGAATAATTGTGTCAATTACATGTTGCAGAACAGACCTACCAGAAAGCACCAGTCTAGAAACACACACACCTACATAAACTCATCAAGGGCAACCAAAATATGAAAGGGAATGGTGGAAATTGTTGTGATCCATTGATCAGCTTTAGAAGCCATTACAGGACATTACAGGGTGAACAGCTGCAGAAGACAGGATTAATTCAGCGATGTATAATGATGATTTGACAGTGATGTGAAAAAGGGTATGTGTTATAAATGTGTTATAAATACCCACTCACTCGCTGGATCATCACCTTGTCGTGGTGAGAGGGCTTGCATGTTACTATGACCCTCGCGAGTGAAGCCGTCGGGAATCTCGTACTCCCAGCAGGGTCACCCAAGGCAGTAAGGTCAAAGGGAAGGAGCTAGACAAAGAATGATCCAAGAATTCCTCAATGGCGGAATAGGCAGAGGATAACAAGCGGTATGTTACAACGGCTGTGAAGGCGGATGAAGGCTGCAGCAGATAGGATCTACCGGTTCGTCATGACTACTCATGCCATTGGAACAGAGCCCTACTGCGAAGACTTTGCGTTGATCAGCGTGCACTGATCTACACACATAAAACAATTTCATGCACAGGCATCTTCCAAAAACCCAACCCAAACTCCAAAAGTCCCATGGCGATCGGCAAATGGTAACGGGGGCAGGACCGTGAAATCTGGAAGCCCCTCCACATCGTGATCAACTCCCGCCAGGGAACCAATGTCCCCACTGCGGAAGGACGTGTGGATCCAGAATTGGACTCCACGGTCACTTACGGACTCATTGTTAAAATCTGTGTTTATGGAAGACAATCTTACTTGGCTACAAGTGCTCATCAAAGAAGAAAAGAAGAAGAATAAATACTCAACCATGTCCCCAATTTCAGTTGCAATCCTTTGCACAATTTATCAAGGGTGGAAACTTCATTGTTTAGAGTGGCCTTTATTCTTTCCGAGAAAACACACATAGGACCACAGCCTCAATCTGTGAAAATTTGGAGGGCATACAGTGAAACGGGAGAGATCTGATTTCAGCTTAACATTATCTACCCTTTTTTCTTAACCAGGATCCATTTGGTCCAGCAAATGAGGCAGATATTGATGAGAATGATTAGATTTCTGTTCCACCCTTTCTCTAAAGGAGCCCAGGGTGGCCATACAATAACACAATTAAAAACATTATCATTTTTGAAAACACAACATAACCATGCACAGTGGTTATAAGCTGGCAAAGCCCATCAGATTTCACCCCCAAGTTCCTGGGTGAACAGAAACAGTATCAGGTTCCTAGAATCATAGAATAGAATCATAGAATCATAGAGTTGGAAGAGACCACAAGGGCCATCGAGTCCAACCCCCTGCCAAGCAGGAAACACCATCAGAGCACTCCTGACATATGGTTGTCAAGCCTCTGCTTAAAGACCTCCAAAGAAGGAGACTCCACCACACTCCTTGGCAGCAAATTCCACTGTCAAACAGCTCTTACTGTCAGGAAGTTCTTCCTAATGTTTAGGTGGAATCTTCTTTCTTGTAGTTTGGATCCATTGCTCCGTGTCCGCTTCTCTGGAGCAGCAGAAAACAACCTTTCTCCCTCCTCTATGTGACATCCTTTTATATATTTGAACATGGCTATCATATCACCCCTTAACCTCCTCTTCTCCAGGCTAAACATGCCCAGCTCTCTTAGCCGTTCCTCATAAGGCATCGTTTCCAGGCCTTTGACCATTTTGGTTGCCCTCCTCTGGACACGTTCCAGTTTGTCAGTGTCCTTCTTGAACTGTGGTGCCCAGAACTGGACACAGTACTCCAGGTGAGGTCTGACCAGAGCAGAATACAGTGGCACTATTACTTCCCTTGATCTAGATGCTATACTCCTATTGATGCAGCCCAGAATTGCATTGGCTTTTTGAGCTGCCGCGTCACACTGTTGGCTCATGTCAAGTTTGTGGTCAACCAAGACTCCTAGATCCTTTTCACATGTACTGCTCTCAAGCCAGGTGTCACCCATCTTGTATTTGTGCCTCTCATTTTTTTTGCCCAAGTGCAATACTTTACATTTCTCCCTGTTAAAATTCATCTTGTTTGTTTTGGCCCAGTTCTCTAATCTGTCAAGGTCATTTTGAAGTGTGATCCTGTCCTCTGGGGTGTTAGCCACCCCTCCCAATTTGGTGTCATCTGCAAATTTGATCAGGATGCCCTTGAGTCCATCATCCAAGTCGTTGATAAAGATGTTGAATAAGACCGGGCCCAAGACAGAACCCTGTGGCACCCACTAGTCACTCTTCTCCAGGATGAAGAGGAACCATTGATGAGCACCCTTTGGGTTCGGTCAGTCAGCCAGTTACAAATCCACTGAGTGGTAGCATAGTCAAGACCGCATTTTACCAGCTTCTTTACAAGAATATCATGAGGCACCTTGTCAAATGCCTTGCTGAAATCAAGGTAGGCTACATCCACTGCGTTCCCTTCATCTACCAGGCTTGTAATTCTGTCAAAAAACGAGATCAGGTTAGTATGATGAATGATGATGAAGGTGGGAGCATGTGTGCACCTCACCAGCGAGGGGCTTCCATAACTGGGCACCACTATGGAAAAGGCCCTGCTGTAGGTCAACATCTAAAGCAGTAGTGCCAGGAGCAAGGGTTTCCCCCACTGACCTCAGAGCCTGGGGGGGCGGGGCCGGGTGAGATGCACCTGACAGAGGACAGTTCCAATTCAGATTTCAGGCACAGGTTTGTTGCATATTCCTCCATAAAATTATAATTTTAAAAATCCCTCTACTTATAAAACTAGTATGCCAGGAAGAAGGGTTCAAGCTTTGCCATCTTCTTAACATGCTAACTTTCTAGTTGCATCAATCTTCTTTCAAAGGAAGAGGATTCCCAAGAAAACAGACCCATCTGCTGTTTGTAAGACAATGGCCTTGGTTTCATGGGTTTGTTTTGCATAAGGGAAAGCCAAGGACAAGCTTTGCATTCCCTGGCTGTTTTACTATGGGTGTTGCAATTTCCATTCTGGTTGCCTCAAAAATCAGATAGCTGCTGTGATCTCAGCACTTTCATTGCAGACAGGCAGGCAGGCAGCTGAATTTGTTTATGTATTAATTTATTGCATTTGTATATCATTTTTTCCTCAAAAGAACCCAGGATGCTGTACATGGTTATCCTTCTCCTCAATTCACTCCCACAACAACCCTGCAAGGTTAGGCTGAGTGGTGGTGCACCCAGTGAGCTTCATGGCTGACTGGGAATTTGAACCTTGTCTCCCGGGTCCTAATCCGACACTCTAACCACTAGGCAACACTGGTTCTGAAGATGTCTGAGGTGTCTTCGTCTCTATTCTTTAAAGCAGTTTTTGCTAATCTGGTGCCCTCCAGATGTTTTGGAATACAAGTCCCATCAGCCCCAGTCAGCACAGGCTGGTCTAGAGGCTGTCAAAAGTGGTCCTCTCTGCTTGCTGAACCACAGACAGGTAGCAGCTTCCTTGGATATGAATGCTCAGCAGTTAGATAGACTCGGGGAAGCGCAAGGACTCCTGTCACCAAATGCTTCTCTGCAGTCATAGGACGGAGATTTAAGAGAGCTCTTTCAAATCTGCTCCCTTCCAGCCAGAGAAGCAAAGTATGGAAGCTGGGAGCACTTGAGAGTTAGGGCAGCTGTTATCCCCTGAGCAAGAGTGATGTGGGGCTGAGATAAATGAGAGAATGGAATTGCAGGTCCGTTCATGAAATTTCTCTTCACAATGGAGTTTGCTGAGCCCTCAAAGAGGTCCCCCCCCCCCCAGCATTCTTGTCTGCTTCGCAAGCAATTGCCACTCTGTCTATTCCTCTTAAAACTTCCATTTACAAATGTCCTGCCTCTGTTGGCATTCAAAATCCTGGCTTATAAACATAATTTCTCACCCACCTTTAGAAAAGCATCTCCCAGAAGTCTCCAAAAGACGACGATAATGATAACCCCACCCATCTGGCTGGGTTGCCCCAGCCACTCTGGACGGCTTCCAACACACATAAATAATAATAATAAAACATCAAACATTCATAGTAACAATCATATCTTATATAAAAAGTTACAATAACTTTAAAATAAACAACTTATATCAAATAAAGCAATATTCAATAATCCATCAGAATCCAATAGTAAACAGTAAAATTAAACACCAGCAAATAATAATTTAACAGTTTACACTTCTCAATTACAATAAAGAATTACTAAACTATAATCAATAAAATAACAGCAAATTACAGCATACCTAAATTGCTTAGGTATTTTACATCTGCAGCTAGGATTCTCTATGCACAAAAATGGGAAGAAGCAGAAATACCCACTGAAGAAGACTGGATAAGCAAGGTGTTGGATTGTGCAGAATTGGCAAAGTTAACAGCTAAAATAAGAGAACCTAATGACGAAGGTTTTGTGGAAGAATGGAAACCCTTTTCAGATTATTTAAAGAAATATTATTCTATGATGAACACACAAGCAGGATTTGAACTATGAGTAACAGAAGGCTTTAAAGATTATAGTACTTTTGTTAAGGTTTAAGAGATAGATGACAGGGTACAGCAGAGACAAAGAAACAGAAACACCATGGAAAATGAGGTGGGAAGTTGGGGGGAAAGTTTTTATTCTGTATTGAAATGGATGTGTGAAATTTTGGAAAACTTAATAAAAAAACTTCAGACAGAAAAGCATCTCCCCCAATTACACCAGACAGATCTTCCCATTCCGGAGCAGCCTGACTAGCAGCCTTAGGGGAAGGGTCGCAGCTCCACAGCAGAGCTTCCCTGGCATCTCCAGGTATGACTTGGGAATTTCCCCTTTCCAAAACCCTGGAGATGTGAGGGGAGAGATGACCTCCAAGCCCACCTTCAGCCGGGTCTAATTCTGTCTCCGTCTGGACTGGAACAGAAGCCAAATCCTGACTAGGGATGTAAAGAGAAGAAAGCTGTCAGAAAAGGAACACAAGAAGACAAGAAGAGCCGGCAGTAGGATCAGGCCAATGGCTCATCTGCACCAGCCTCCTGTTCTCACAGTGGCCAACCAGATGCAGGATTTGAACACAAGACTGCTCTCCCCTCCTGTGGTTTCCAGCAACCAGGATTCAGAAACATCGCTACCTCCAGCTGCAGAGGCAAAGCCTAGTCATCATGGCCAGTCTCCTTCAATAGCCCTCTCCTCCTCCATGAATTTACTAATCTGCTTTTAAAGCAATCTCGGTTGGCTCCAATCCTGTGCAAGTAAGTTCCATAGTTTAATGATGTGCTGCATGGAGAGAAGTACTTTCTTTGAAATGAGAGCAGAAATTGCCACTGTTCACATGTTTGTCTAAGGTTGGGAACAGGTCATGCAATCAGATATGAGTTTTGCTATATAAATATGATATGAGTTTTGCTATATAAATATATACAATGTTACACAAATAATAACATTATTTTCTGCATTGTTTTGATGCTTTTACTGAACTGATATGCACTGAAGTTAAATTAATTCCTTAATTACATTGTGTTACTTAATTAGAATTGCATTAGTTTCAGTCATAGCAGATAGTGCGACAAATTATGTAGGTTTTAGCAGAAGACAAACTGCAGTGGAACAGGAACAGCACTGATTGCTATGAATGCAGGACAGGATGGAAATTGCTGCCTCCTTACATCCTGCAATTAATCCAGAATGCGGCAGCTAGACTGATGACAGTGGGCACCGAGACCATATAATACCTGTCCTGAGAAGTCTGCATTGGCTGAATACGTTTCTGAGCACAATTCAAAGTGTTGGTGCTGACCTTTAAAGTCCTAAACGGCCTCGGCCCAGTATACCTGAAGGAGCATCTCCACCCCCATTGTTCTGCCCAGACACTGAGGTCTAGTGTCGAGGGCCTTTTGGCGGTTCCCTCGCTGCAAGAAGTGAGGTTACAGGGAACCAGGCAAAGGGCCTTCTCGGTGGTGGCGCCCGCCCTGTGGAACGCCTTCCCATTAGATGTCAAAGAGATAAACAACTATATGACATTTAGAAGACATCTGAAGGCAGCCCTGTTTAGGGAAGTTTTTAATGACTGATGTTTTAATGTATTTTTAACCTTCTGTTGGAAGCTGCCCAGAGTGGCTGGGGAAACCCAGCCAGATGGGCAGGGTAGAAATAATATATTATTATTATTATTATTATTATTATTAGTGCCATCCTCAAGTGTTCGACACCTGACCACAAGGTCAGTGGGATGTGTGCTCAGATATCCAAAGTACTGGCATGGATTTACGACCATTTTGAGTCTCATTCCTGTTTCAAATATCCACACTCCCTTTGATTATTCTTCGCTTCTTCTTTCCCCACCAGTCCCAGGCAGCTGGTTCAATGCTGGCTGTATTTTCATGCGCTTGCCAGGGCACATTTCTTTGAGGCCAGATAGACCAAAGACCAGGCCACTGTCATCCATCTTTGTGTGAACGAAGTTCAATTCACAGTCAGGGAGAGCGGATGCAGTGTTTGATCTCCTTGGCAGAGACGCTGATGGTCTGTGGTTCCCCTTCAATGTCAACACCATATATCTATTCCATGAAGATTGCTAGTCTCCTCTGAACCACAAGTCTGGTCTCCTGCATGCATTGCTGCAGCCCTTGATGTTGCTTCAGCGCTAGAGGAATGCAAGTCTGTTTGCTGTTGAGAGTTCAGCTCACAAAGAGGCCCAGGCATGGGGATGCAGCAACCTTGCTGAAGCTAAGCAGGTCCAGGCCAGGTCAGCACTCTGGGGTGGAGGAGCCTAGTTGGCTGATAAATTGTTGCCTACCAGTATTCCCTTAAATTAGATGCCTGATGATAGGAGGGAACTATGCCATGATCTGGTTCACTTAAAGCTAAGATGGCTAGCCTGTTGTCCCCCAGAAGTGACTGAACTACGCCTCCCATAATCCCTAATCATTGGTCATGCTGGCTGGAACTGATGGGAATTGGAGTTTAACATCCTGAGGGCCTCAGGTTTCCCACCTATGGTTTAACGGCCCCTGTAAGCAATGCAGGTGAATTTACTCTAATCTCAAGGTATGTAGCAAATACGTATTTAGCTACCGCATTCTGAGCTATTTAATGCTTAATTTAAACCAGCAGGGAATCAGATCAACAAAGCCATCATAGCTCTGCCTCAAGCTGCAATCACTTTCC